TAGCCCAGGCTCCGGGCTGCACAGACGGCTGCCAGTCCAGCGTTTCCTCCGGACGAGGCGTAGAAGTGGACTCTGCGGCCTACGTTTGCTGGGTTGCGAAGGTGAGAGAGGATTTGGTTGCCCATAGCGCGGGACTTGAAGGAGCCGCTGGGCTGCACATTCTCGAGCTTCAGGAAGATCCTACATCCAGCTGCCCGAGAAAGGCACGCGGACTCGACCAGTGGTGTCTCGATCCATGGCGTTTTGAACTGCAGTTGATCGCAGGCGGAAATGTCGATGCTCCCCATTTTGATGTGTTGAACAAAAGGAGGAGAAATAAAAACGTTTCTGTTGGTCACCGGAGGAGTTCCAGGATCAGAAGTATAGAAATGAAGTTCCCCAAAATAGTAGTAAATGGTTCAGTCAAGTAGTTACACGACAGTAGGGTGTATATTCATCAAAATAGAGAGGTAGGGATATATCGGGAAGAAAAACAAAAGCGATAAATACTGAAATATCCAAACTCCAGTATGCAACTATTAAGACATGTTTTGATATACAAAGAGAGCCTCCAGGGCTAGGGCCAAGGTTTTCCGACGGGAAACTCCAGTTTTCCGTCTGATAGGACTGACCGCAGTATCCACGGTTCTGGCCCAGTCTTTCCCGTCGACAACCTTAAGGGAAACTCCAATTATAGTGGGTCGGACATGACGCCCATGACATGCCGTTTGTATTAGAGTGGCCAAGCGTGGGAAACTTGACGTCTCAGCTTTCAAGCTGTGGAGGACCCGGGAAAAAAACCTCATAGAATCTGTCGTATCTGCGGAGAAAATGCATATCTTCATCCAGACGGGCCTCTCGGCCGCCCATGATTGGTCGCCAGTCGATTCCTCTTATCAAATCGAAAGCTCAAAAACAGCCGTATTATTCCTCAGTGAGCAAAGGAGGGGAAAAGAATACCTTTCTTAATGCCCTCACCGTAATCTGGATCTGAACCGTACGCCGTGGCCGCGAATGCCCGCTTGGAGGGGTCCGAGGTATTTACACAGAGCAATTCTAGAATGTCATGAGACTTGCCGGGCATGAACGGTTGCAATAAGATGCCAGCGATCCGCAGCGATTCCGCCACGTTGTAGATGACCCGTTGGGGGTTGGGAGTTTTCCACGGCTCCGCCGCATGGAAGTACTTGTTAGTCTAAAAAAAAAAAGGTCAATACTTGCCGAACCCGTGTGGGGATGATCACCTCTTACCTTTTCAATAATGCTCATAGTCTCATGTAGTGCGGCACGCGGGTTCAGATTCTCCATAAGCTCGGCAACCTGCGGAGGCGTCTGCTCCAACATTTTCTGATGTTCCAAGTCCTCAGGGGTAGCAGCTGGAAGCTTATCCGATCCGGCGTCGATAATGTAAGAGCGCAAATTGCCACGCGCACATCCAATTGTACGCATAGTAAGGTTTCCGAGGCCCCCCTGAAGCAATTTCTTGTAGTCTCGGATGATGAAGGAATTGTCAAAGTCTGCATCATCCGCAAGGCCACCCCGGTACGCTAGGAAAAATCGCATGCCATCGACTCCGAACCGCTCAATGGCGAAAAACGGGTTCACAACATTGCCCGTGGACTTGGACATTTTTTCACGATTCATCGTCCAGTGTCCGTGCACCAAAACATTCCGAGGCAGGGGAAGATCTAGTGCCATGAGGAAAGCAGGCCAATAAATACAATGGAATCTGCCAAATGATTAATTTTTGCATGCGGCCTTCCGGGAGGACTCGTGAACTCACCGAGTAATATCTTTTCCAACCACATGCAAGTCTGCAGGCCATGCGGATGTGTTTTCTTGTCCAGGCGGGAAAGGATACCCAGCTTTAGTCAAGTAGTTGACCAGCGCATCTAGCCACACGTAGATTGTCTGAGTGTCGTCGCCAGGAACAGGTATGCCCCAGGTCAGACGTTCCACGGGCCGAGAAATCGAGAGATCCTGTAGTCCCGACTCAATTCCGTTGATCACAGCAGCTGTGTAGGAGGTAGGTGTGATAAATGGGTCTTCTCTTTTGTACAAATCAAGTAGACGATCCTTGAATGCTGAAAGACGGAAGTGGTAGTTGGTTTCTGAGGACCACTCTACTTCTTTGCCTGTTTCTATTGAGACCTATGTGTTGTTAGTATCCGCACTCGTTGGAGAACGGATAGCTTACATACCATGCGTTTCCTCCCTGTTGATGGATCTAGGGAGTTCTGCACTTGCGCCTGTGGATAGAATGTCTCATCGCTGACTGAGTACCAACCCTCATGCTTCGAGGTATAGATATAGCCCCGGTGTTGTAACATTTCCTACTCATGATCAGCCACGCCCTACTATGAACAGAACATAGTCGCCCTACCCAGAAATATTGGACAGCATCTCGATGTGTCGGGTCGGTGGTCCTGATGAAATGATCGTTGTCGAGGTTCGCAGCCTTCGCTAGAGCCTATATTGGATAAATAGAGTTAGAGATGCCCTTTGATACGATAAACAGGACTCGCACCTCAAAGGTTCGGCAGTTCATATCGCAAAATGCCTGAGTATCCATGCCGGCTTGAATGGCAGCTTGTTGAATCTGTGATCGATGTCAACACCCATTATTGACCTTCAATCCAATCCACATGTATTACCTTCATTCCATGCTCATCGGTTCCAGTCAGTAGCTGAGCATCCGTGTTCCCGAGCAAGACCTGCCACCGCTTCATGATATCGGCAATCACCATTGTGTATAGATGACCGACGTGAGGGGCTAGAAGTTGGACGGACTGTTAGCAACTCACATTTCTCATGTTCTTAAAGATATATAATCCTCACCGGCATTGACATAGAAAATTGGTGTTGTCACATAGTAAGGCTTGTTGGACCTTTGCGGCGTGGTTGCAACTCCGCGTCGGGGACTGGTTGCCCACCCATGCTTGCGGGATGTACAGTTCCACGGATGCCTCAGTCTCAAAAGCGGAGACGCTCTGAATAACGAGCGAAGTGGCGTCCTTGCTGTAGCCATTTGAATCGTGGTAACGGTAAGAAGAGCGTTGCATGTTATTCCGCACATCTCGGGTGGTCCGAGCTTCTCCGCAAGTCGGCCTTTTTTTTTTGCGCATACATTGTTGCGCTTACATCGTCATCGAGAACCCGCGGACATACAAGCTTGTACATACCTTTCTCTTTCATCTCAACCGTATTTCGACATATTCGAGTACCACACGCAATTATTCCCCCTCTTTTTTATATCAACTTGAAATACCGATCGCGATGGCTACAGCAAGCGAGGATACACTGACCAAAGTGTCGACCGAGGGTAAGTCTCAAATTCATAGTTCCATCCCTTATTGGAAGCCTGCTAACATTTTGTTTGCTTCCTTGCTCAGCTGCGACCGAGTTCATCAAGACCTTCTATCCGGCTTTGGGATCAAACCGCGAATCTCTCAGTTCTTACTACTCCCTCGAGCCTACGACCATCCTATTCAATGGAAATCGTGTCGCAGACGGTGCGGCTGTGCAAGAGATCTTTACCAATCAAATGTCGCCAACATACTACGAAGTCCAATCATACGACTGCCAGATCATCAACAAAGCATACCCTACCATTTTGCCAGGTGGCGGACTGAAGCCACAGTCGGAGATGGGAGTCAAAGACATGTCATTTCTCATTGTAGTCAGTGGATTTGTGCGCTATGGTGAGGGTCGTGAGCAGCCTCAGCGTGGATTCAGCGAGACGTTTGTTCTGGTCCCCAACCCGGCTGCAGAGAGGGCGAGGGGCCGCAAGGATTGGCTTATCGAAAGCCAGAACTTCCGCCTTGTCGTTTGAACAACCATACAAATTTGATCCAACAAATTACAAATAGTCACGCAAGTCAACAAAGCATGCCATGTGACACAGAAGTGAAGGAGAACTGAGACTGAGCCATGCCCACCCACCACCAGTGATGAATTGCTGAGAGATACGATGCAACAAATGGTCCACTGGTTGAAATTGCTTCAAAACTAGAGCGCCAGACGCCAGGAAGGGAAGGAAAATTATGGTATTTCCCCTATTATTATGGGGATTATGGCGCAGCCGATGTCTTGCGCGGTATGCGGAGGTTTGCTTTGACTCTTTCAAGCAGCTCCTCACGCGTCGCAGCTTCACTCGGTAAAAGCCCTCTCTGAGGTGTTTGGTCAGCCTACCATTCTCAAGAAAATGTACGATTATCTGGACTGAGTCATGTCTGAATAAATCACTGGAACATACCGCTTTAAGCCATCTTGTCATCTCATCCATTGTCCAGTTTTCAGGATCTAGCTTCTATTAGCCTTTGTTTGATACCTAGTAACACCTATTCTCACCGCCAGTGGGATCTGCTTGGGCTGGAAGAACATCGCTGCCCATGATGGTATAGGCTGCCACCGCAGTGACCATTCCTGCAAATCCTATATAGGAAGGTTGTGGTCAGAAATGTTGACGAGTGCCTTAACTAGAAATTATCTACCAAGGAATAGATTCTATCAAGTCCAGCATTAGATATATTTCATAAAAGTGTAGACCGACATGTTGGTAGTACCTTGGAATTCAATGCTCGGTCTAAAGGGGTCGGCATCTTGAAAAATGATGCAATGATTCTTTGAATTTCTTGAGTTGATGTAGAATCTTTCTTTCCGAGGGGATTAAAAAGAATAAATAGAAGGAAAAAAAAAGCCTTAGGACACGTGCAAAAGACAAGTATTCAAGACGAATAGATGTGAACAGTTCATGCGGGTTGTACCGCCACACCGCGCCACCTCCACTGCTGCCTTGGAACTATACAGTTGCACCTACTTCAACTTCATACTTCAATAGTTAAACTCCTAGGGTTGATGGCACTTCCCTTCGAGTCTTGATTATTACCTAGAAAATGTAATGCCAAATTTACAACTCTCACTGTTCTAAGCCATTGCATCGTATATCTATATTCACCAGTCCATCATTATTGCCCTCACTCATTTCAAATCACTTCAAACAGCCTGTTCTGATATATAATATGAAGGCAGTCATCTTCGTGTCTTTGGTTATATTTGTCATTGCGGTGACAGCTGCCATCACATGGGGGTATGATTGATCAGTTGCAGTATCAGGCCAGACATTGACCATATTCATAGCCTAGCCTTTTACAAACGATACCGAGTCCGCCTGCATGTCACCTCAAGAGGAGTGATGATTCCTTCACAGAGTTTGGACCTGGAGAGATTGCACCCTGCCCCGAAACCTCCCAGCCACATTTATGGTCCCAGCTCCACCAGCCACAACACCCCACCAGCCACTGAACTTACCCCGCCTGAGGCACCCGCTGTAAATCACACATGACTAAGCAAGGGCTTTTGCAGCTTCAAGCCCTAACGTGATCCGCACACATTCACCTTAGAGGCCAGTGTCGACAGTGAGCTTTCTCTTTTGCACCTTGCTTCAAAACACCCGCAACCGTCATTATGCCTGCCGAAGTCTCCGATATCAAGCAGTTCATTGAGATCTGCCGCCGGAAGGATGCCTCCTGTACGTTTATGCTACATTGATGAAGTTCCAAGATGAGACTTGGTGATGATCATTGATGCTGACTGTTTACGCCTCTAGCCGCCCGCATCAAGAAGAACGGCAAGAACCAGCAGACCAAGTTCAAGGTCCGCTGCCACCGCAACCTTTACACCCTTGTCCTGAAGGACTCCGACAAGGCCGACAAGCTCAAGCAGAGCCTGCCCCCTGGTACGTTTCGATCGCATTGGTCCGCCGTCTGAGTTGTTTGGAATATAGAAGGATATACAACTTGGAAGATGGATTTTGAATGTCGCTTTGAACCTATGCTGACAATTTCTTTCTGAACAGCCCTCAAGGTCGTCGATGTCTCCAAGGGCACCAAGAAGACCAACTAAATTCGGTAACAATGGAACGAACGGAGAATCGGAGTGCGGCGTGATTGGTTGTTGATGCATGCAAGACCAACTGTTGGGGGATACATGACACGGGCTTGGTCCCTCTGCGAGCCGACACGGGGAAAACTCCGTGGCGTGGAACGAATTTTACGTCGGGGGAGTCTCTTTGCGCCTTTGAAACCGGCTGCTGTCATTCACCGGTCAGGCGACTCGCATTTTCTGGACGCACTCGAGGAGCACTTTTTGTCGGAGGTTCCAGTCCCTACAACCAAATGAAAAAAACAGTTGAAATATCATTACTACATAGGTTTCTCGTCTCAGTCGAGATGTCCTAATCCATCATTCTCGTCATGGATATTCTCCCGACTTTGATCTCATATTTCAAGGCGACAAGTAGACGGGTAAATGCTGGTTGTGTAGATCAACGGACCTCGGATTGTTCAGGCATTGTAAGGGTCTCTGGCCTTTTTTCTTGACTTCACTTCATATCGACGCAGAATCCTCTCGTGGGAATCCTGTCGTGATCTCTAGTCAAATAATATCGCTGACATTGTGACTACAATGACTACAGTTCTTCATTTCCTTGGACGGCTCAACTGAAAGCAATGACACGACCTATTTTTACTCGGCGTTGTTCTTTGATACCGGGCTCGAGACTGCCTCGCCTCCCCGAGTCCCTTGTCCGAGCCTTTGTTCGAGTCTACTTCATACTTTTCCTCGCATAATACTATTGTTGGGGATGGATATCTCCAAGAACAGGTGTTTACAAAGGCCTTTGTGGTTATTTTCTTCTCGTAGAAGTCAAAGCAAGGATGCATATAGCATTTCTCCTCGAACCTACCTATATAAATCCACTCGGACCTCGTCCAAACTGAAACCACCAACAACATTGACAATATCGGCATTCCGTTGCTCCCTACTCATCTCGGCGAAGTAAAGACATATTCTCTTTCCAGAATCCCATTCAGCTTTCAACACAGGTTCATTCAAACTACCTAACAAGAGTATAACTGGAAATATGTGTCACCAAAAGCCATCAGTCCCTGCTATGGGAAATCTTAACATGTTTCCACCAGAGATTATCTTCAATGTCCTGGATGAGATTTTGGGGAGCTCCCCTAGGTTGACACATGAGAACTTTCATGCCATTAACCAACTAATGAAAACTAACAAGACACTAGAACAATATATAAAACTCGGATGGATGGGTAGCAATGCGTCGAACAGTTTCAAGCAGCGTGTTGATTCCGTCCAGTGGTACCCAGATATCGACAGTTCGAATACAGCTCTAACCCTCAAGGGCGTAGACCCCAATTGCACCATTCCCATCGAAGGTCCCCACGACCTCGGCCCCGATCTTATCACAGGTATCATTTTAGATGACTGCACCGATTGCTTTGAGTGGTTCTCCGATGTACTGCCTCCAATCCACATGAGCTGTTGCAATGAGGGCGGTTGGTCATTCCTTTCTCTGGCACTGCATGCTAAATCCGAGAAGCTACTTGATCGCTTCTTCAACTCAGGCTTCCCTTACGATTCACAGGATTTTATCACCAGCAGTGGTAATGCTATGGGGAGAGGGCCGTCAATCATTGGGCTTTCTGCCTCGTCTAAAGACCATCAGTCTTTCACTAAGCTCTTCAGGAAACTGAAGGAAACCATGAACGGGCACGGCTTCCAAAAGACTGTTAGAGATAAACTCTCAGGTAAGGAGCGAGCGGCTATCCGAAGTGTTGCTCCCCCGTATCTACGGAAGATGTTATATGAAGTTGGTCTAGCTGTTATGCATCCGACTCTACGTTATAGTCCATACTACTCCGGTAAGCGTACCCTGATGTACTAGTCTTCTCGATCCATGCAGTTGTATGTCTGTGCTCACGCTTCAGATAACATCATTAACATTCCTGGGATATCTATCAGTTCCCTGGTAGCTAACTGATGATGTTCATGTAAACCTTGTTGTCTTTTATTCACTCAGCCATTACCTTCATGTTATACTACTTTACTTTTGCATTATCAGGTGTTAGTATCCAGCATTTACAACCAATCGAATTCAAGTTTCCTTACCTTAGTTACTGCGATTTTATTTACCAGATACATGGACCAAGTAGACCTCAATCCTTTGGACATTTTGTACGCCGGTATTTCTGTAGATCATTACTCTTCAGGCCACGGCACTTAGTTGCTATACATCTTACCCTCCACATTACTTGGCACGTCACATATTCTCTTGGCATAAATCATTTCATACGTTAGATTAGTAGCCCCAGAAGGATAAATAGCATATTCTTCCTTCCCATCGGCCCGCCACCCCGGATCACCACCATTTATTGCCGTTGTTGGCTGCAGAAATTAGCCATAAGGGCTGGAACTCGTTCCCCTGGTTTCTGCACCCCAAATATATACATGTGGACTCTATTTTCCAAGACTTTGGCTTAACTAGTTCTCTTTGTTGGATAAAATGGCTGACCCCATGACCCTTTGTAATACATCTCCTTGATGGCTCAAACGCCGAGGCTTTCCTATTCAGACCAATAACAGCATGAAGAGTCTGAACTCCGGCTTCCATCTATGATTTTCCACCAGCAGTTTCCTCTAATAGGTCTTATAGTCCACGCCCGATGTTGCGCTTTTGTGTTCAACCGGTGCCAATTGACGTAGTTGTGTTTGGCACTATTCCAGGATCAGAACGGAGCTCCTTCAAGAACATAATCCCCGGCTAAATCAATAATTACAAGAGGAATAGACAAAGACGAGCTCGGGGAGGGATGTGTATAAATATAGGAGTGTAGTTCAAAGAAATGTCCTGCACAGACAGAAACCACTCAATTATTTATCAAAGATCCAGCACAAAATGGCAATTTCAAAGCTATCTATGCTCCTAGCCTCTGCATCTCTTGTAGCAGGCCATGGCTATGTCTCCAGCATCGTAGCCGACGGCAAAAAGTAAGTTAATCCAAGACCAAAACTCTCCATATCAGCAGCCAATTAACACCACATCATCAGCTATACTGGTTACCTCGTCGACAAATATGCCTACATGTCAGACCCCCAGAGAGCGTCGGCTGGGCAACAACAGCAACCGACCTCGGTTTCGAAGACGGCACCGAATACCAAGATCCGAACATAATCTGCCACCGAGACGGAGTCAACGCAGCTTTGAGTGCTACAGTCACCGCTGGCTCCAGTATTGACATCCAATGGACGACCTGGCCAGAGTCCCACCACGGTCCTCTGATTACGTATCTCGCCTCATGCAACGGTGACTGCAGCACGGTCGACAAGACCACGCTGAAATTCTTCAAGATTGAAGAAGACGGTCTCATCGATGGCAAAAATCCTCCTGGCACATGGGCTGCTGATCATCTTATTGCTGCTGGCGGCCAGTGGACTGTGAAGATTCCTTCTACCATCGCTGCGGGTAACTATGTCATGCGGCATGAGATTATCGCTCTGCACTCCGCTTCCCAGTCGAATGGTGCTCAGAACTACCCGCAGTGCTTCAATTTGAAAGTCACTGGGGGTGGAAGTGATGTGCCTGAAGGCACGCTTGGTGAGGATTTGTATACCAATACTGATCCGGGGATCTTGTTCAATATTTATTCTACGCTGACTTCATATGTTATCCCGGGACCGGCTTTGTATGTCTGATCCAGGGGTATATCTGATCCAGGGCTGTAACGAGATCCCAGGTGGAGGGTGACTTGGAGGGATGTGACTTTGGATGCTTTGTTCTAGTGTTATTCGAATATCATGGAATGAATACTATGTGCATTGTTCATTTGATCACCACGACTCTATACAATCAGAACCCCCATAAACCATTGAGAACCCAAATCTATTCCGTCTTCTCATAAGGCAAAGCAATAAATCCTCGTACCTTAGCCCCCTCAAGCGCCGCATCAACACCACCAAGACTCAAATCCGTCTTTCGCAACTCGAACTCCCCAAAGAAATTCGGCTCAACAGAAACCCTCTCAAACCCAAGACCCTCAAACAAAGCCAAACTCCTCAAATTTGTCTGTCCGATCTTCACACTAAGACACTCAAACGTCAATCCCTCCGATGACCCCGCCGCCTCAACACTAGTCCGCAATTTCCGCACTGTCTCAACATCAACATCACCACCACCAACAAACTCATCCAGAATAGCACCCTGGTTCTGAACAATATACCGCATAAACATAAGTAGCGCGGCGCGCCCAAACCCACGGCGCCGGTTGACTTTCTCAGCGATCATGAGCTCCACCTCGCCGACAATCTGCGGCGGGCTGTCACCCTCCTCGCCGTCATCGACGCGCAGGAAGAGGTTGATGTCGCCGACCATAGTGGCCGGCGAGTCACTTTCTGTTTGCAGCTCTGTCTGGCTGGGGAAACCGTCTTCGGTGCCTGTTGTCATCGCCCGACAGACGATGAAAGTTAGTTTGTCGGCGTCTTGGCGCCAGCTGCGTTGCATCGAGTATTCTTCTTCTAGTGTTAAGGGTTCTGAGGCTGTTGCTTCTTGGATTTCCTAGAGGATTGTAAGAAAGGCGGTCGGTTACATATATAGTTTTATTTGATCTTGTTTATGTACTTACCGGGTCTTTCATCCATTCGTGGTATCGGGGTACGTGCCATGATGAGTACGGGACTAAAAGGGCTTTTGAGGAGCAGAGGGCTATTCCTCAGAAATTGAAATTAGCTTCTTCTGTATTGTTTTTAGTCTCGATCTGCGAGATTTGTGGGGGAAAGAAAGTATATATGTGGGTATGGTATGGGCATAGAGCAGCGTACCGATGTTGGCATTAAGTAGCATTGTGGTGGATGATCAGAAAATGATCATTTTTTTGTGTGAATGATTCAGGATTTTTCAACTGATATGTACTATGGCGGATAAAGGCTCATTTGATGTATATCAGGGGTCTCGATGAATATAAAAGCAGAAGAAGTTAGTGGGATGGATTCTTCCAACTGTGGGTCTTGGCGCGTGGAGCCACTCGGGTTGTATACGATTTGTCTGAGCAGCCATGGGGGCCATGAGGTTTTATGAAATTTATCAATACATGTGAGATTTGACAAGATGGTTATTTCATTAGTACCCATTGATTGGTATATCTCTATCAGTTCACTTTTGTTCTTCCTGGCCCTTGAAAACTCCAAACCGGACCACCTCGACCTCTAGCGTCTCGGTATCAACCAGAATCAACTCCCCAGTTTCGTTGAATTTGGGAAGCGCCAGCAGCCGAACACGGGCTGCATCTGAGCTATCAGCGGCACCTACCATCTCAGTGTCGCCATCTAGACGGAGAGGGACGTCACCCTCAATCGTAGCAGTCTTGAATTGTGGCTGATTGCCAGCGAAAAAGATATGCGGACATGACTCGATAACATATGGATCTTCAGATTGGTATGGGTATGACCCTAGAGAGTATTGTTAGCGAGATATATATTTGAGAGATTGGGATGTCCAAGCATACAAATTGTGTCCGGCGCAGTGGGCACGCCGCAGCGCCAACGAAGCATTGCTTCCATGATTCGCATCCGAGCATCGGAATCTGTATCCTTGTCTGGGCTGCTATCGCCGCCCTCGATACTGATATATCGCAGAACATCGTCAACATTCTGACCGCTGCATCCCCATAGTCGCCAGCCTTCCACGTCGCCGTCCCAGGGGTTTGTGACACTGTCAAACCAGCCCGCTCCGGGCTTTTCATCCCCCCTGACAGGAGGTGCAGAATATGCTCTTGCTTGTGGAAACATAGTACGATGGATTCCCTGCTGAGGGAGGGGAGTAGTTTGCGGGATCTTTTTCGCCCGGCATGAGTGTGACGGGAATGCTGGGCAAGATTTCCGCTAGGAAGTTATCGAGTTGTGTGATAGGTGCGGGATTGTATGCAGAGGCGTCATAGCCATACTTTTTCGGTTGGGCTTTCTTTCCCGCGTCGCCAGAGCTTGTGGACGCAATATCTTCAATTACGCTGGCTCCAAGTGAGTTACCAGCGATGACCAACCGAGAGATTTTAGAAGGACCCAAGGAAGGACTGTTCTCGTCACTTCCCGAGAATCCTGTGTAACCCAGAAGATAATCTGTCAATAGATCCAAAGCAAGCGTGTCGCTTGATTTCCCCGTGATTCCCAGGCCACTGACAAAGGCAATTTTGCCGTGTTCCTTACCAGCAATCTCGACTCCGTTTTCTGGATTTTCTGGAGCATTGCCCTCCCATCGTTGAAGCTGCGGAGCCAAGTCTGGCAGCTTGATATCAATTACCTCGAAATCGCCATTCGCATTTTCAGTTCCCAAAGCTGCAATAATGGCACCTGTCGCCAGCTGTGTAGACTGCAAAAAGTTTCCAGTGAGCCGTAAGCGGCCGGACTCATCTTCCATCATAATTTGAGTCAAAGAGGGATCGGAAGGGTCGGTGTAGGTGCGGCGAGGAGGGGGTGCAGATGTGAAGTTCTGTGGATTGTTAGTAGAAGAAGAAGAAGCAGTAGCAAGGCTAAGGAACTAACCTCTTTGCTAAGGTCCTCCAAAATATTCGGCTTCATTGGTAAATGCATGTATACGGTGCCAGCCACCCAGCACAGCTCGCCTTGTCGGACATCGAGGACTCGATCGACACGTCGCACTTTCTCTCCAGCGATCTAAATTTGCAAGCAGCTGTCAGATGAATCCATAACTGAGAGCGGAATATATTTCCTAGGACAAAGTGCCCTTACAATAAGTCCATCCCACGAATCTATCGCGACTTGTTCGACGCTGGGCTTCAACTTCGCGAGTCGCAAAAAGTACATGTCGTCATATTGCTGCTGATAGTGCCGTCCTGCGCCGGCTGGTAGGTGGAATGTGAGACGAGGGTTGTAATGGGAGGGTGTGCGGTAAACTGGTTCGTGTTCTTGTTCCTCCTTGCTATCGAAACAGAGTGCATTCAATGGTCAGCGAAAACTCTTGGTACGTCGCAGCCTGGAGGAAGGCAGAGTGGACCAAGAGGTATTACCTGGGAGGACACAAGAAAGTGTAATTCTCAGCATCCGGTGCCATATTGTCCAGAGTAATGCTGGCTATCTTGTGTTTCGGGGATGGTTGGGGTGATGCGAAGAGGTGTATTTGACGCGCCCCACGCGTCAGTTAGCGCGTTCAATTACATTCCCGCTTCGGGATCTCGTGTATGACAACTGGTCAAGGGGATTTTTCATATGGAACAGTCAAATTGACTCCTGAAATATGCTATTTATTTCATCAATCTCATTAATTAAACCGTTCTTTTGTGTTCTAGCCCCAGTAATTCTCAGGTTAGGTTAAATGCAAAATATAATGACAATGATATCCAAGTATGTAGCACATTAAGCCGACTCGGGACCCTAGTCATATATGCTCGGTAATGCTGGAAAAGACTGTATACTCACCGAGATGTGCAATTCATACAGCACCATATATTGTACTAGTTAGTTATGTTGTAGGATGTACAATGTAGATCGGCTACCACCTACCTCGGTCCGCACATACTAGCTTAGCGCTTCCCCGCATTTTTCCATTCTTCACATTCGAACATCGAACATACCTAGGTATATGGCTCGTATTCATTCTGCATAAATATAAGGGACAATTGAGACACAACCATAGCTTAGACCCCCCAACGTCTTCTTCTTTTTCTTATAACCTACCGTCGTCATTTCCCTACACCGACAATACAACATGTCTCTCCAAACACCACTATGCTCTCTCCTGAAGATTCAACACCCAGTGCTGCTAGCTGGCATGGCCCGCGCATCTGGAGCTCCACTTGCAGCAGCAGTATCTAATGCCGGTGGCCTGGGTACAATCGGCGGACTGGGCTACACACCAGCACAACTATCAGAAATGCTCACAGAGCTGAAGTCACTCCTCCGAGACCCATCACTCCCCTTCGGCGTGGATCTCGCCCTTCCGCAGGTCGGAGGTTCAGCGCGCGCAACAAACCACGACTACACACACGGCCAGCTAGACGAGCTAATCGAGGTGACCATCTCGCACGGCGCCAAACTCTTTGTCTCCGCCGTCGGCATCCCGCCAGCGAAGACCATCAAGCGACTCCACGAGGCCGGCATTCTGATTATGAATATGGTCGGCGCACCAAAGCACGCCCATAAAGCGTTCAAGGCGGGTGTCGATATTGTCTGTGCGCAGGGCGGCGAGGGAGGCGGTCATACCGGCGAAGTGCCGTTCTCCGTTCTCGTACCTGCTATTGTGGATGTTGCACGAGAGTATAAGAGTCCGTTGACGGGCCAACCGGCGCTTGTGGTTGCAGCTGGTGGTATTAATGATGGCCGCAGTCTGGCGGCATCGTTGATGTTCGGTGCTGCGGGTGTTTGGGTGGGCACGCGGTTTGTGGCTTCCGAGGAGAGCGGTGCTAGTCGCTTGCATAAGGAGGCTGTTGTTGGGGCACAGTTTGGTGAGACCAAGCGCACGCTTGTTGTCTCTGGTAGGCCTTTGCGTATGCTTCCTAATGATTATATTAAGGAGTGGGAAGCACGGCCTGCTGATATTTCCGCGCTAACTTCCAAGGGGGTTGTGCCCATGATGGATGATTTGGAGAACGAGAAGGACGTCGACATGCCGTTCCTCATGGGTGATGTCTCTGCCGGTGTTAAGGAGATTAAACCAGCCGGGATTATTGTGAAGGAGATGGTTCAACAGGCTGTGGAAGTGCTCAAAGTTGGAGGCTCATATATCAATTCAACAGGGCCGGCTAGTAAACTATAGATATATATGTTATCAAGGAGTGGCTCTTCGTGCACCAATAGATTCTCTTCAGGGTTGATGATAGTTCAGCGGGGATCTCCTTGAACACCCGCAACTCGCCGCTGTGCAGCTCTACTGTGTATGTGGTGCAAATTGTTGGGATGTAGATGCTAGAATGGTAGTGTCGTACTGGAAAGATGGAAGTCCAGACTGTAACTGGTGCACTGCAGAGGCTTTTTGGATCTGTGGCAGCTGCGTCGATTCATCAAATAACCATGGCGGGTTTGCAAGAGACATTATCTCTTGGTCAAATATAGTCCATGAGTCTTCCGCGCTTGGGTGTGGGAATGCTAATGCCACGCTTGTGTCTGGTGGAGTATGCATGGCTTGCATGCTAGACTCGAGTCGGTGGAATAGAACCGTATGAATGCTTGCAGCGGACTGGTTTCTTCGTTCCAGACTTTGGAGATGTACTTGGATGAGGTGCAAATCTGGAATAGTGTATTAAAAAAAGGCTGATAATTCTGCTCGGAGGTTAAAAATGTCATACCATCTTGGTGAGTCATGCCATCTTCAACTCCTTGAAGGAGTAATACCGCCGCCCATGTGATCATCTGTTTTGTTAGAAAAAGACATTGGTAGCTCTGGGGCAGCACCTACAACTAAGTCCCAATTAGACCATATGCTCGCATCATCTTGCCTCAGTCTCAAAACTGCCCGAGCCGAAATAAGCAACTCATGTCGCTCAAAAGAACTAATGTTCGCAGGACTGAGATCAAATCCGCGAGCGGGATGATAGATCGAGAGCACATATAGTTTGTGCAGGTGATACTGGAGCAAAATGAGAATACCTTGTCGATCAGACGGAGTGGGCTCTAAACCATAGTCAGCCCCGGAAATTGTATTCTGGCTCGTAGACACTCACGGGATGAGCCATTATACCGTACTAGCCAATCATCAAGCTTCCGTGCCCAATGCCGGATGACCTGCGAGTCACTTTCGGTAAATGGTGACCGAGCCGTAGGCACGATATCGGCGTCATCTGCATTGAGTGAGGACCATATGCTCGGTAGTCCACGGCCGACAAAATGACTCAGCCCAAAGTGCATCATTTCTGCAAGGCCCTGGAAGGCATTTCCTTGACTGCTATCCAACCGCTGTATAGTTGGATTTATAGCTTGTCGTGGGAGGAGTGGATAGGACATGTGCATCGAGGCGTGTTCAATATCAATGACCTAAACCTAAATGTAAATAAAGTATCCTGATTTTGCCGTTTGGTAGCTGTTCCTACCTGAAGACCGGAGAACAACGCACGCCAGTCTTTCGTAGTGGAATTCATCTCTGCTGGACAATGATCAAGCCAGATACGGTATGCCATTGCAATCCATGAGCCTGTAGCCCCAACGTAAGCCTCGCAGCTCAAACTAGCCATGACCAACCCAAGAATGTCATGGAATGCCTTCTCTCTTTTATTTTGTTCTTCGTCCTTCTGCTCTCCCTGCAGGGAACTTGGATGCAGAGACGGAGTCACAAGCTCAGCGATCGCACTGTACATGGCGGCGAAATAGCCCGAGTCCAACGATGCCAGTCTACCGAACGGGTGATGCAGAGCGGATATGTAAAGCACAGAAGCGAGCAGAACAGGGGTCGGAGAAGCGAACGCGCTATGGTCTGTTAAGAAGTGAAGAAGTGGGAGGTTTTTCAAGAAGCTGTGACACTGTCAGATATCGACCACCTTGATTTAATCAGTACATACGAGCTCCATAGCTGCTGAACAGCGGATCGCGACCAGACACTATCATCTGGAGGGGGACGAGTGATGAGTCTTAAATGCGCAAGCGCTGTCCATACACCATGTAGTGGCACAGCCTCCATATCTTCATCAGGACTTGCCCCATGAGACAAACTCACTTCGTCTTCGGGGTCCTGGGAGCCTTCGGTGATGCCGAGCGCAGACTCGATCCTGGCCAGCCGGTTCAGAATTGACTGGTGATCCGGGATCACTGGCGAAGAACCAAAAGCTTGATCTTGTTGCATCTCCATTAATTCATGCATCGCAGATGCCTAAATAGAATATTAGCTCTGTGTCCGGGTTATTTTTTTCCAATGTGGTTCTTTGCTCACATTGGCCCGGGGCTTGAAGACACAGGCAGCTCGAGTGTGACGGCAACGGCGACATGGAGGAGGTCCGGATACTTCGCATTTCATCTGATTGATGTGAGTCCCCTAGTTGCTGGCATACTGGAAAGTAACTATGTCTATACCTTCAGTCGTCGGCAATTTACTTCAACTGGTTAGCTCTTCTCCACCATGCCAATGCCATCTCCGACTCACCACAGGCCTTGGTCGGCTTTGGGCCGACCATGGCGCCCGATCTCTTCATGACTACTCAGAGTAACTCTCCATAACTCTTGGGGATAATTGATCAAAACAATTGGAGAGGAGGGTAAGCAGACGCAGTTACATCGGGGTTTATCAGGGGAAATTACCGTTTCTCCGCTTTTACCAGGGTTGTGGTGCCTTGACCAATTACATGTGAAAAGATTGGTTGAATTTGATATCTCTTGATATTTTTACGAATTCTACAAATTCTATATATGTATGATAATATTTATGTTCCCTCGTTTTTAGTCCGTCCGGTGTAGACTTATAGGGCCAGGACGGGTCTGAAAACGGAGAAGAGGAGTGTACCTGGCGGTTCACATCCTCTTTGTTCTTGCGCGAGCATCCTGATGGAAATGAATGCGACATCTTGCAACCAAAGGTAGTGACTGGTTGTAGATGTGATTAGCTCGGTGCCGAAGCACGTGAATATCTTCAGCGCGGTTGGGGGGTCAAGGCAGGAGAAAACACATGAAAACAGAGAGGAAGAAGAATGGAGATGTACACAGATGGGATATACACGGATATATGTACAAGGTATGAGGTGATGCAGGGGGGAGGTATATAGAAATACATGGGAGGGGGAAGTCGTGATGCAATTCCCTAGACAGGGATCATATCCAGGTTAGAGGAAGGTGTACAAAGAAGAGAGGAAGCGACTGCTGAACGGCGATCCTTGACTGATATCGCTTACGCGGCGGCATCCATAGAAAGCTTGCGCAGCTCCCATTCCGAATCAGCCCAGTCCTTCTTCTCGCCCAGAACGCAAGTCGTTTGTCGCGAGCCATTCACCAGGAATTTGTCAGCGACCGCGTTGACATCCTTGGCTGTAACATCCAAAACCTGTTCTCTCCAGCGTTGGTCCATTTCGTGGGTAACGCCGCTCATAAAGTAGCGAGCGCCTTCGTCGTCGACACTCATAGGAGCATCAAGACCTTGGAAGATACCAAGCTTAGCTTCTTCAATCTCACGCTCAGACCAAGCACGATCTCTAGCAAAGATACCACTGTTTTTGAAGACCTTGAGCGAGTTCAGAGGGTTCGGGTCCCGGTAACTCATAAAGGTGAAGAGGCCCTTGAGGGGCCCGTTGCTAGCACCCGCTCCGTAGGCACCACCCTTCTCCCGGATCTCGGGGTGAAGGTAGTTGTGGGTGAGAAGCTGAGACAAGATGCTGAGAGGAGCGCTAGATGGATCAACAAATGGCACAGTCTGGCGAGCCTGGCCTGAGTAATAGACCTTGTACGGCATATCATAGAAGGCCTTGTCCGCTGACTTGAAGGAAGTGGTGATGAGATTGGCGCTTGGGGACCGTGTTTGAGGCAGCCCGGAAATCCACTTTTGCAAAATCGATTCGTTATTACCAGCGCTCTCCTTTTCACAAACCATGCGAACGCGAAGGTTGGACGAAGAGATGGCGAAGGATTGGATCAAGCGAAGCTTCTCGATCAGCTCCTGGAGACGCTCCGGAGAAGACTCTGCGTCCCGGAGCAGGTTAGCAGTGGCCTGCAGTTGTTCAAGACCAGACTGCTGCTCTTGGATCCAGAGGCTCCGAGAAAGATTGGCAGCTGCAGCATTAACGGCGAATCGGTGACCAGTTCCCGCAATAGCATCCAAAGCTCCATTGGTGGTCATCCGTAGGAGTTCTTGAATCATCGCAGGCGCGGCAGGGCTCGTGAAGTCTGTCTCTGTAACCAAAACCGAGAGCATTTCCAGCATCTCGGGGATGTTCTTGTCAATAGCGAATCCAGAGAAATGCATTCCCTCCTTAAACTGATCCAAGTGCGTTGGGGACGACACAAGGAATGACGAGGTCGAAATTCCTCCGGTCTTCAGTTTGATCAAATCTTCCCACTGTTCCATCGACCGGTTGGCAGTTCCCAGACGCATAACACAGTCGTTGAACAAGGGCATAAGCAACCTGAGTTCATCGGGTAAGTCAACAAAGTCATTCAACGCCTGGAAGTAGGTCAAGCCATTGGTGGGAGCTTCACGCCAGACGACGTCAGCGCCTTCGACTTTGGACTCTCGGACAGGCTTGCGCTCCTTCTCTCGCGAAATGTCCTTGACTGTCACCGACGGTAAGCAACTCAAGTCGGCATTGTGGGCATCCTCTTGGATCTTGAGGAGCTCCAATTCCTCCTCTCCAAGCTTGGTAACAGCTTTCTCAACTGAGCCGTGCTGTTCGATAAGTTGAGCAAGTTTTTTGTCCTTTCGCACCACCTCCTTCTCGTCCAACTCTTTGTTGAAGGTGGGAGTGCCGACCATGGTAAAGGTCATGCATTGGTCGTTAATGAGATATTTCTCCACCAAAGACTCGAGATAACCGGGTTTCGCGTATCTGCGCTTGAACTCGTCGATGACATCATTCCAAGCTAGCTCGTTCATAGGGTTTGAGCCGTTGAGCCAAGTCGAAATGGTCTTCTCCATTACACCAATTCCGAAGTTTGCAGTCTTGTGGCGGAGGGAGAGCTCCAGCTGGTGAAGGAATCCACGAACCTTCTCCTCACTGAAGCCAGCAGAAACGGATTGACGGAAAACGGATTGAATCACATTTTTGATAGTTGGGGCTTCCGCTTCAGTCACGCCGTTGAGTCCAACCGAGAAGATTGGAGTCCGGCTAGATGGGTCAAGACCCGTGTTTGGTGTGAAAGAAGAGCCAAGACCACTCTCAACAAGGGCGCGGTACATGGGTGAGCCGTAGCCATCGAGGAGAAGCGAGGAAACGATTCCTACAGAGAAAGTTTCCACAATATCGGTTGTGTCACCCATGTACCAGGACGTGGATGTCTTGTGCTGCTTGTCTTCGCTGGCAAATGTATCGACGGGGCCAGGAACAGTCACGTTAAGAGGTCCCTTGGTGAGATCCAGAGGCAGCTTGATATCAGTATCCGCTTGTCCTTGCTGGAACCCATCCAAGACGGCACCGATCTGGTGTAGGTGATCAGCCAGGGGCATATCACCATATGTAAGGATCTTCGAGTTGCTGGGGTGGTAGTTGCGTTTCGAAAACTCCGACAGTTGCTTATGAGTGAGATCTGTGATATACTCCGGGTCTCCACCCGAGTTGTTCAGCGAGGGGAAGATGCTCTCTTTGAAACGGATATAGTAGAGATAGTTTGCATCAGAGATCTGGCCTTTCATCTCGTTGTAAACAACACCCTTGAAAACAATGTCCTCCAATGAAAGCTGTTTTTCAGTTTGTCCCGGAACCGATTCTCCAGCACGCGGATCCTCGGGGCCCAAGCGCCATCCTTCTTGTCGGAAATCCGATTCCTTGAGAAGAGGGTGCAGGGTCGCATCGAGATAAACAGAAAGAAGATTTTTGAAATCCTGTTGGTTGGTTGTGGCAAATGGGTATGTAGTGTGGTCGGAAGCTGTGAAAGCATTCATAAAGTTTGAGAGAGAGCGCGGAAGCATCTTAAAGAACGGGTCACGGATTGGAAATCTTGAGGGAGAACGAGGTCAGCAAAGATATCGAGGTATCCAATGTGATGTTGCTCACTTTTCACTGCCACATAGTGTGGTATGTTCCAGAATATGAGGCACACCAGTAGCGTCCGGCGGATTTGTCTTGAACCCGATTCCAAACACATTGTTCTTATCATCTCTGGCAACATGCATGTAGTCTGCATCGGTTTGGTCATGTTTCAGCCAAACTGCAGTCAGATGAAGCTCAGGGACATGTTTCTTTTCCTGTAAGGTGAATCCGTGGAGCTTCTCGCCGACCTTGGGGAAGTTATCCAAGTTGGTCACCGTTGATGCGGCTCTCCAAGTGTTGCGTGTAAGGATCGTTTGTGTTGACTTTAATGAGCGACGGATAAGCGGGTGAGGATTTGGCACTCGCGGCGTACCGAGGCGCATCGATGAGCGCAACATTATTATGAGTAGTTGACAGTCGTAAAGAACAAGCTCGTAACCCCGGAGTCGAAAATGTCCAGCCCGGGAGGGTCCACCGCCCAGGCTTACATCATCTATGCTAGCGTAAGCCTCACTGGCCGCCCGCTCGTCGAAGTTCTGCTCCGAAGACCAACATTTGCTCTTTCCCGAACGATACGACAAACGAACGATTCTCACATCCCAGAGCCACTGACCTCGCTCGTGAGCCTTGCCTCTGGGATCTCTCCTCCGTGTGATTGATCCGTCTACATCCTACTCTGTATCCCGCCTATCTGGCGCAAATTTTCGGCTTCCGGCCTTCGTACCAACCCCCCGTGAATCGAATCACCAAATACGTGGTGTCTACAATACCCCACGCAAACACCTCGAAATGTCGTCCACCTCCATGGCGAAGAAGAATAAGGCGAAGAAAGCGGCCGACCCAAACGAGACGTCCAAGCTCTTGGCCGCCAAGATCTCCCAGCTGGAGCAAGATGCCGCCGGCGAGAAAGACCAAGAGGCAGAAATTGGTGCGTGACTCCCTTTGTATTCTGCGGCGGCATTTTTCCTCTTTGCTTGGTGCCGCTGGGCCACGAGGTTAGTCTAGAACTTAAGGTCACTAACTTGGATTTTGATATATAGAGCGCGAGGTCAAGAAGGCAACTCGTGACCTCAACCAACTTCTGAGCAACATTGAGTCCCCTATGACCAAACTAGAAACCGTCCATAAGAAGTACACCGAGCTGTTGGCGGATATGAAGAAGTTGGATCGTGATTATTCCAAGAGCAAGAAGCGTGCCGATCAACTGCAAAAAGACCAGGACAAGGGAAAATCCGATCTCAACAAGACCGTTACAATGAAGGACAAGCTGGAGAAGCTGTGTCGAGAACTTACGAAGGAGAACAAGAAGGTCAAGGTGGGTCCATCAGCATGCGGCTCGAGACGATTGCGCCAAACACCGCGGAGGACTTGCCAGCTAAACGATTTGGTAGGATGAGAATAAGAAGCTGGAGGATACAGAGAAGAAAGCGCGCTTGATTGTGAACGAACGTCTCGACTCGCTCCTTTATGACATCCAAGACGTCATGGCTGCCAAGGGGAACCCTCGCAGCGAAAAGGTGGATGTTGATCTGGATGAAGCGTACGATTTCGATTCCCTTTTCTTCTTCGGGCTTTGGGTTCGCTAATCGGAGATGTGTAGACTCCGCGTCAAGCTTAAGACCATCAGCGAACAGTTCGACACGCGTGACCTGCATTACAGAGGCCTCCTACGTGGAAAGGACTCCGAGATCCAAAGTCTCGCTTCCAAGTTTGAGGAGCAGCGCCGTGCTGGTGAAGTCGAAGCCAACCGAAGCCGTGCTTTGACCTCCCAGGTTTCCACTTTCTCTCATACCGAGGCCGAGTTACGCAGCCAACTCAACATCTATGTGGAGAAGTTCAAACAGGTACAGAAGGGTTCCCACAAACCCTCTCATTCCCCGGTCGCTGACGAAGACCACCAGGTCGAGGACACTTTGAACAACAGCAACGATCTCTTCCTTACCTTCCGCAAGGAGATGGAAGAAATGTCCAAGAAAACCAAGCGCCTGGAGAAGGAGAACCATACTCTCAACCGGAAGCACGAACAGACTAACCGCAATATCCTGGAAATGGCAGAGGAACGGACCCGAAACCATGAAGAACTTGAAAGATGGCGCCGAAAGTGCCACCATCTAGAAGCCCTTTGCCGGCGTATGCAAGCCCAGGGCCGAGGCGAAGGACTTGCTCTAGCGGAAGGCGATGATCATTTAGAGGGTGATGATGAAGGCACTGAAAGCGAGTACGATGATGACTATGAAGATGACGAGGAGGATATCAGTGATGAGGAAGATCTCGAGCCACCCCCTACTCGGGTTGAACAACCCTCAGAGAAGCCTGTCTTCGGTCCCACCCCGCCCCCAAATCTTTTGGAGGCTCGCGCGAATGGCAACGCTACGGGAGTCAATGGCTTGGTTTTCTAAAATTATTCCAATTTATTTGATGTCGATTTGATTGAGACAACTTTGGCTACCCTCGATGAAGACTCAGTCTTCGATTTTGTACTTGTCCCCCCCAAGGCGAAAGGCGAAAGCTTCATTTTGCCTTGTGACTTACAGAGATCCGAAGATTCGTGTGGGATTCGAAAATGTAGAAGTTCTGTGCCATCTATTTTTGTCTGTCTCTTGATAACTATTCCTTGGTGATTACCAAGGCATAATCCATCTTGTTGGTTTCTTCAACACCTTCTGGTTTTCATCTTATTTGATGAATGTACCTACCCGATTAAGCTCCTACCAGATTAAGCTCTTGTATCATATCGCAGGCTCGTACCTTCCCTACAAGCCATTGCTTCCCCTGTAGTATACAAAACAATCTCGTACCCCACGTAAGAACTTCACGTTTCTCATCATTTTTTCAAGTATACATACTATCAAAAATCATTACAAAAATGACAGCTTTATGCCTCTATACACTTTTTTTATTGCTTTTGGTGCCTGTCTGTTGTGGCCGTAAGTTTGAACCCTCTTCAGGCGTCAAGCGTCTGTTCAAGCGTCTGTTCAGGCGTCTTTTCAGGCGTCTTTTCAAGCGTCTTTTCAAGCGTCTTTTCAAGCGTCTTTTCAAGCGTCTTTTCAGGCGTATTTCTAACACGTTTTTTAATCCTAGTGCCCATCAACCCCCGTGCCAAGAGTGAGGACTCCTTTTCCGTGGAGCTCCTCCAAATCGTGGCAGACAAGGGCGCGGTCCTTGGCCTTTCTGTTGGCGGCGCCGTCCTCCTGGTCCTCCTGACAAAGGAGGCCGGAGCCTTCTTCTTCTGGTGGGCACGTTATGCCATCGAACGGTATGTCATTTTGCAAGATCTATGCCAACAACATACTGACCATTGGTTCTTTGGTATAGCCGCGACGTACTTGCAGACCGTCAGGCATAAATAATTATTACATGGGTAGGGCGGGCGGGCTTTTTTTATATATTCATCAAAAGGGTTGGGCGGGCGGGCATTCGTTTTTTTATATATTCATCAAAAGGGTTGGGTGGGTGGTACGAAGACGCATAGGGCCCATTGCTTGCCCTACAAGTGGGTGGTGTTGCCCTCCTATACCTACTTCTAAGGCAGGAGGATCGTTCTTTTTGTGGTGGGCATAACTATGCCTTAAACGGTATGTCACTTGGCAGAATCTATACTAATGACATACTGACAATCTACCCCCCGCAGTAAGGATGACTCCGTTCCCGTGGAGCTCCTCCGCATCGCCGCCGAAAAGGGCCCATTGCTTGCCTTAGAACTGGGAGGCGCGGTCCTACTATACCTCCTACTAAGGGAGATAGGAATGTTCCTGTTCTGGTGGGCAAGACATGCCATTGAACGGTATGTCACTTGGCAGGATCTATGCCAACGACAGTACTATCAAAAACCATCACAAAAATGACAGTTTTATGTCTATATATACTTTTTTTATTGTTTTTGGTGCCTGTCTCTTCTGGCTGTAAGTTTGAACCCTCTTCAGGCGTCAGTCAAGCGTCTGTTCAAGCAGCCTCTTTCTAACACGTTTTTTAATCCTAGTGCCCATCAACCCCCGAGCCAAGAGTAAGGACTCCTTTTCCGTGGAGCTCCTCGAGGTTGTCGCAGACAAGGGCACGGTCCTTGGCCTTTCTTTAGGCGGCGCAGTCCTCCTGATCCTCCTGGCAAAGGAGGTAGGAGTCTTCTTCTTCTGGTGGGCGCGGTATGCCATCAGACGGTATGTCATTTTGCAAGATCTATGCCAACAACATACTGACCATTGATTCTTTGGTATAGGCGCGATGGCAATCAACGCCGGGCTGGTGCCGGCGGTGGTTCTGGCGGCTAAACTTTTATAACTGTACAACAGGGATGGGTGGGTGGGTTCACATAACTGTACAACAAGGATGGGTGGGTGGGCTTCACATTTTATAATTATCAACATCGTTTCTTTTTTAAAAAAATGATATTCATACGGTCAGCAATCCCATTCATTACCACAAACGTCCACATCTTAAATCCACATCTTAAACCACTAACCACCTACATTTGGGGGAGATATACTTGCAACTATACGGCGGTCCTTCAGATACGGGGATTTTCATGGTATGAAAAGCATCATTTTTCTTTGGGACTTGCAACCACCGGAAAAGATGGCGATACATGGATTTGTATGGAGTACAAAAACTTCATTTTTATGCGCCTAGTTATTCCATGTTGATTTAGTTATACTGTATAGAGCCTAAAAGCGGTCTGAAATAAGGCTGGATTCAGGCAGTAATGTATTTCACTGGCCGATCACCCGCTAATTGCTCTCAACGAACCTCGGCCCATCCCTCTCTCCACTCTAACATGGCCAAAGCCGAGTCCGATCTCAAATCCATCCTCGATGGCGGCTTCGATCCACACAAGTTCGCCTGGTACGAGTCAGAATTGATCGAAGTTCCTGAACCAGCAAAGACTCTGCTAGAAAAGTACAGCAAAATCCCGTCCGAACAAGTGGTAGACCATGTGAAGAAAGTAGTGAGTCATTTCCCATTCTATGGAGGGGAGAGCCCATGCTAACCAGGAATGATCCAGAGAGATCGAGCATTCGCTGTAGTAAGTATATCTTTCTTTCCGATAATCCATTGTAGAGGTGTTGTAGCTTGCACTGCTCGCGTGTGTAATGCCCAAACGCAGTTGATGGCTACGGAATCTTCACACCCCAAGGGACGCACTACCGACTGTCATTGATCAAAGATACTAACAAATATTCCCAGTTCCCGTACCCGTGTATTGGATCATTCCGGTTCCTGGATTTGAGTATCCCACAGTCACCACTCTACCCTGAAATCCTGGATAGACTCAAGTCGGGCCAGAAGCTGCTTGATGTCGGATGTGCAGTCGGGCAAGAGCTGCGTCAATTGGTAAGACTCCAGAGAGCTCATGCAGAGTCCAGAGCAATGAACGCAAATTTAACATGCCAAATCAATTAGGTCTTCGATGGCATTCCCTCTGAAAATCTCTATGCTTCAGACTTGCGCCAAGACTTCTACGACATTGGATATGATCTCTTCAACGACCACGATCAGCTCAAAGCCCAGTTCATTGTAGCAGACATATTCGACGACAGCTCCGATCTAGTCAAGAACCTGACACACAAGATTGATATTGTGAACGCTGCTTCCTTCTTCCATCTTTTCAACTGGAACCAGCAGCTCCTAGTTGCGAAGCGGCTTGTTGGGTTACTTCAGGATAAACCCGGCTCTCTTCTAATCGGGCGGCAGATTGGTTTAGTAAATCCCCCGCCTCCAGAAGATAAAGAGGCTGCTGGGAAGCACTATCGTCATGACCCTGCGACGTGGAAGAAATTCTGGGAGCAGGTTGGTGCTGAAACGGGGACAAAATGGGAAGTTGAGACTTGGATGGAGAAGTGGGCTGGGACGGATAAAACGATGAAAGACTACCATGAGGGGATGGACACTTTCAAGCTGAGGTTTAGTGTTCGGAGGCTGTAAGGTAATTGCTTTGATCAACTGTGATTGTAAGTGTATATAGCGTCCATGGACCGCCGTATAGTTGTAAGTATATCTCCCCCAAATGTAGGTGGTTAGTGGTTTAAGATGTGGATGTTTGTGGTAATGAATGGGATTGTTTCCCGTATGAATATCATAATTAAAAAAAAAAACCCCCACCCAACCCTTTTGATGGATATATATAAAAAAAGCCCGCCCGTCCTACCTATGTAATAATTATTTATCGCCCACGGCGGGCTTCACGATCCCGTAGTTCGTCGCGGCTATACCAAAGAACCAATGGTCAGTATGTTGTTAGTATAGATATTGCAAAATGACATACTTTTTGATGGCGTAACGCAGCCACTAAAAAAAGAACACTCCTACCTCCTTTAATAGGAGGCAGAACAAGACGACGCCGGCCAATTCAAGGGCCTACACCGGGCCCTTGTCGACCACGGCGTGGAAAATCTCCACGGCAAAGGAGTCATTTTCGGCCCGGGGGTGTAGGGGCACTAAAAACGTGTTAGAAAGACGCCTGAAAAGACGCTTGAACAGACGCTTGACGCCTGAAGAGGGTTCAAACTTACAGCCAGAACAGACAGGCACCAAAAACAATAAAAAAAGTATAAATGAGCATAAAACTGTCATTTTGGGATGGTTTTTGATAGTACTGTATACTTGCAAAATGATGAGAAACGTGAAGTTATAAAAATTTATCCGCCGCCAGCACCGCTGCCGCCAGCAGCACCACCGCTCGCACCACCGCTCGCACGATCCCGCTGGTCGTCGCGGCTATACCAAAGAATCAATGGTCAGTATGTTGTTGGCATAGATCTTGAAAAATGACATACCGTTTGATGGCGTATCGCGCCCACCAAAAGAAGAACACCCCTACCTCCTTTAACAGGAGGCAGAGCAAGACGACGCCGGCCAATTCAAGGGCCCACACCGGGCCCTTGTCGGCCACGGCGTGGATAATCTCCACAGCAAAGGAGTCATCCTTACTACGGGGGTGGATTGTCAGTATGTCATCAGTATAGACTCTGCCAAGTGACATACCGTTCAATGGCATGTCTTGCCCATCAGAACAGGAACATTCCTATCTCCCTTAGTAGGAGGTATAGGAGGACCGCGCCTCCTAGTTCTAAGGCAAGCAATAGGCCCTTTTCGGCGGCGATACGGAGGAGCTCTACGGGAACGGAGTCATCCTTACTACAGGGGTGGATTGTTAGTATATCATCAGTATAGACTCTGCTAAGTAATATACCGTTCAAGGTATAGTTATACCTACTATAAAAAGAACGATCCTCCTACCTTAGAAGTAGATATAGGAGGGCAATACCACCCACTTATAGAGTAAGCAATAGGCCCTTCTTAGTGCGACGTAAAGGAGCTCCACGAGGAAGGATAGGCACTAGGATTAAAAAACGTATTAGAAAGAGGCTGCTTGAACAGACGCTTGATACCTAAAGAGGGTTCAAACTTACAGCTAGAACAGATAGGCACCAAAAACAATAAAAAAAGTATAAATGGGCATAAAACTGTCATTTTGGTTTTTGTTGATGGGTGTTTTTGATGACGTTTATGTATACGGAGAAAATGAGGAAGAAGGAAAGTGAAGTTCTTGGGGGGATTGCTTTTTATACTACAGGGGAAGCAATGGCTTGTAGGGAAGCTACGAGCCTGCGATATGTTAAAAGAGCTTAATCTGGTAGGGCCCTTTTTGGGAGGATGTTTATGCCTGGATACCTGAATTAGTACCGCTTTATACACCGCCCTTATGCAGTATACTGTTATGTGGCCACCATACAAATCTAGGTATCTCTAGTTGTAGGGACTTCTAAAGTGAATTGAAAGTGAATTGAAACTGAGTTGAAACTGAGTTGAAACTGAATTGAAACTGAATTGAAACTGAATTGAATCTGAATTGAATCTGAATTGAATCTGAATTGAATCTGAATTGAATCTGAATTGAATCTAAATTGAATCTAATATATATTTCATGGCGGTTGCAAGTCCAAAAAATGGAGTTAGTTACCTGATTTGTATGGAGGTCAAAACCTTGGAAGCTTCATTTTTTGGATTACTAAGGCGCATGTAATAGCAACCTTGGAATTCAGGTATTTTAATTTTTCTGCCGTTCTAAAATAAGGCATTCAGGCATAAACCACTCCCAAAAGGGGTTTTGACCCCCCGTGGGCAAGATGTAGCAATATCCATAGATCATCCATGGATAGATCGAAGCCAGTCAGCCAGTTTTATCCCTCTCTTTACAGAAGCCGATCTTTTGCAATCTGCCCATAGCTTGGTGGTGCATCAATCATATCAAACGGATTCTCGAAGCTGTCACCAACAAGCCCCCATAGTGCGACTCGTGTGAGCCGGTGCCTTACAAGCTTGCTTATCTCCTTGCGATGCTGTTCTTTTAATTCTGTCTTATCTTCTTTAGAGACGTCAAAGCCTCGAGCTCTGCGACAGCATCCACACTCAAAGGTACAATGCCCAACTCCAAGACGACGTGTAGGATCAGTCGTACGGTTAAGACAACACCCACACCCACGAGCGCAGCACCCATGCCGGCGAGCACAATCTTCAACAAGCAAGCGGTGCATATACCATTTAGGATGGGACCGCCATAGCTCAAACGCTCTTAGCATATTCCCGTCTGTTAGATAGGAATGGTAACACCACCACTTTTGCTCTAGGAACCAGTATTTGGCATTTAAAGCATCAAGTCTCTCTTTTGCATCTTTGTTCAAGGTAGTTCCCTCTTTAATGGATATCTCTTCTTGAACAACTTCCCGGAGGTCTTCCTCTATAAAAAGAATTCTAGGCGAGTCAAAAGGAGACTGAATGTTATCTCTTCGGATTTGGCCCCAGACTTGGGTCAAGCGATATCTTTGGAGATTATTAATCTTTCCAGATCGTTCGAGCTTGACTTCGTCGGGGGTCTTATCACCAAATATCCGCGTATCCATTGTTCCCTTTTGTGCTTTTTTTTCCGGCTTGAACTTCGCGTGATTTGAGACGGTGGAAAGAAAATGGCATCTGCGATGTTTGAACGTTTTAAAAGAATTTGAAGATGAAGAATGCTTCTCAAGAAATAAAAAGATTTCCACAGTGATGTCAGATTACAACTCCCGAGGTCCGAAGCCTACTTAGGTAAAAGGTTGGGTGATGATCTAACCTTCTAGTAGCCTCCTCAACCCTGGAAGTAATTAAGCTTCCCCTATATGGCGAAGACTTCATGATGACTAGCTTAAGTCGAGTTGCAGGGGAGCTGAAACAATATAAAAGTATATCAATGGCATGTAGAAGGATACATCTAGATTCGTCAAGGACAAAGCCATGTGCATATTCAGATACAAATTAAGGATAAATACCAAGAAACCTTGGGATTCAAGTCACATCTACTACATAATTTGCGTGAGACGGAAAATACGCTGATCTACGCAGCGGTATATCCGCCAGGGTTCGAACTCCAGTTTAGGGAGGGGGGACTTGATACCTTGGTGCTTGAATTAGCACCGATTTCTACGCCTCCTCAAACCTCTAAAGAAGGTACAGTGATCTGGAGCTTATTTGCTTTCACATTATAAGACGCTCTTTGTGTTTCTGGCGATGTAAATGATTGTCAAGGAACAAACAGAAGTCTTCTGCAAACTAATCAAACGAGAAGGTATATATGAGGCCTCTGGGATATTCATTTTCTTTCCTTTCCTTTCCAACTTTCATATACCAGGAATTCCCGTGCCTAGATATATATAATTTCACTACCCAAGCACACTCATCGTACTTCCAGTATAAAGCGTCAAAAGAGCTATATGATTCCTCGATAAGGTTAGTAATAATCAGGCAAATCCAAGACCAATAATACATCAACGTCCGAGTTAACCTCTATATCGATAGGGAACATGGTTTCGAAAGAATGGTCTTCTGAACCAGACATGAAATGGTTTTACTTGACCTGGCGCACCGCGTTCGCACAGTGGACGAGGAATACCGCATCGAATATATACATAGTTATACATCATTTTAATTGGATGGGATACTCCACCGACAGATCGAAGTGATAGGCAAAAGTGTGTTAGAATTCCATAACCTACTTTGGAGGTTAAACTAATATAAACTTGTTAGCCTACCTCGACACACTCAATATTGATTCCGACTCTCTACAATCTCAAGTACAGCCTAATGCCCTTTAGTTTCTACTGGTAGCACTAGTCACTAGCTTCTACAATCTCATCTCTGCTCTCCAGCAACCATGCACCTAGATATCTCCGTTTTGGATCCCCTTTCTAGCAGTAATTAGCAGTAATCGTAGGCTGACTTCCGAGCCCTGCATCTCAGTTTACATAGTAATATCATCCCCGGACACTTTTCTCTTTGTCTATGTAGTCATGGACGGTCGATACTATTATACGGGGGGCTACATCTTGAGATTCTAGCTAGATACATTCAAACTGTTGGACGTATATTCAATGGATAGTGCCGGTATGAAACAATGGGGTAGAATATACAAAGAAAAAAAAAAAGAAAAAAAGGAAAAAGGATACCATGGACATCGCCTGTTTGATCGTCAACCACAATACTTCATATCTAGTAGCATCAAAAGTAAACCTCAGCATCCAGAGCCATGTCTGCCAACGGAAACGTCAGTGAGCTATGATTACCTACCTCTATCCCCTCCCCATCTAACACTGTTCCTATATCCCAGTACACCTGCGTTCCCGCCATAAAATGGCTAATCAGAAACATTCGCAACGACGACGCCGAAGCAGACGGAATCGCCACGTGGAACGCAATCCTGAACCTTCGATTCCCATCTACACAAGGCTTCTTCATTCGGCCATACATCCACTGCGCTGTACGTGGAAATCTAGGCTGGGTCGAGCTTCGGCTTTCCCATTTGAATGATGGCCGTCAGAACCCAGTTCTTGTGCTGTACTATCAGCGCGTCGATAGACAGGATGATGATCAGTGGGAAAATGGACAGAGAGAGCTGGAGTTGTATCTTGCGTTTCGGTATCGTCACTTCAGAGAAGATACGGTTCCTATCTATGGCATCCTTGCCATAGGGGTCAAGTTGAAGATCTTCCAGTACGATAATCCCTCCCGCAGTATCGAGCGGTTTGTTCCGCCTTGGGATTTGGAGCGTCACGATGACCAGGTTTGGAATATGCTCAGGAAGATCAACAGGGACCATACCAGTAGTGGTGGTTATGACAAGGCAGGTTTCAAGTTTGAGTCCGGTGGACAGGGGAATGGGAGGCTGGGGATTTTCTTTTGAGGGAGACTCACGGGGTATTATGCACCAAGTCAAAGACTCGAGATTACCTTTCGCTTCAGCAAGGATTTGAGATAGTCGAAATGGGAAAGTATGGACAGCATGATGATGCTGCGTTGATGGGTGATGGGGACTATGCAGCTGAAGATGAGCGCGATGCCCATAGCAAGATTCGATGAGACTGGCACCCATATGATATCCATCGATTCATGGAGTCAGAGGGCTGAACTCAGTATCCCAAAATCAATTATGGTTTATCATAGTTTTCTTATGTTTTCAATTTAAAACGGTCGAGAAGTTCTAGCACCGTTGAGACTCTTGAATTCATGGGGTATAGTGTAACAAAGTCGCTCATAATATCATACAAAATAGGTGATTAATGGTAAAAGGTCCATAATAACCACCCAAAGCAAATTACAGCAATGCGCGTGGAGACCCATTAGCACGATCAATCGAGAGAAATCGTGTTTTCACCAAGCTCGTGAGGCGACATAGCCCTCGGCGAGGTTTTCGATAAGCCAGGAGAATCCACGGCCAAGGATGAAGGCGACATGGATAAGCGTGGGAATGGTTCGGTTTGGTTGTCGGACAATCGGCGGCTGGATGAATTGCTGAAGGTCCGTTTCTGGGTATTGAATTGATCTTGTGATCGGATACTTGGACTGGATGTCGCGGCAGGCTAAACAAGTAATCTGGTTAGTTTCTTCTTCATTGAGGTTGGAAGGTGAAAAATCTCATACTTTATCACCAACCGGATCAAGGCCTCGACTCAACGCCAGCTCGTGTGCAGCAAGCCGTCGCCTCGCAATATCCGCTTCTTCTTCCAACGCGGCGTGCTGCTCTTCTGTCTTCAAGTCTGTCATTGACGGTGTGTCAACACTTTGAGCAATGGTGGCGTCATTGTAACTAGGCGATCGCTTTGGGGAGCGTTTCTTCTTCCGTTTTGTCTTTTTGGAGGATGCGGCACCTAGACTGGACGCAGATGCAGACTGTATAATTTCAGACTTCGTCCCAGACTGATCATCTGATTCCAACCCCGTTCCCCGGCGTCCGAAAGCAAGCGCAAACTCATCATCAAGGGGCACTGCATCTTCTTCCTCATCACTAGGGAATAGATCCCCGCGCGAGCTAAGTGAATTGTCCGTCCCACGGGACGATTGCGTGGCACTGCGATCCCTCCCATTAGGGGCGGGTAAAAATTCATCTCCATCGTCATCATCACTGTCCATAGCTTGCATTAGTGGCTCGTCTTCGTGCGCATAGCGCCTGGCACCGGGGTGTTCTTGGAGATCAGCAACCGAAGGCCTATACTTGACTCCCCTTGCACCGAATCTCCACGGAAAGCGCTCGAGGAAGCCAAGAAAAGAAGAACTGGGAATCACAGTCGGGTCGTCACGGTTGTCCGGAAGGTGCGCGATGCTCCTTCGCCTAGTGTTGCGTGTCCCGTAGCTCATCCTCCTGGGCCGACGCGGCTGGTCAGCAGCTCCGCGCGCCAGCCCGCTACCGGCAAGGAGGCGGTCAAGTTCTCCAGTACCCCATCCAATTAAGCCATCCTCTTCTTCTTCATTGGCCCAGTCGTCGTAGAAATCAAAGTTGGCTTCGGTTTGGCCGCGTCGTCGCCGTCTTAGGTGGTCTTCTCGGCTTGAGAGGCAAGGTGCTGTACATGCAGTCACGCAGTTTCCAATGGATTCAAAACACGGGGATATGTAGTTGTGGGAGAAAGTATAAAGCCCCTCTTGCGCGGTTTCGTTGGCAGTCTCAAGGTTATGGGAGATCTGATTGATCCGTTGTCGGATGCGGGGGTCGCGCGGTCGCATCATCTTGGGCAACGGTGTCGATCAGACACTGCTAATGATGGATCTCGTGTGATTTGCTCCACCAGCTGTCGCCGGCGACATTGGAAAAGTTACGGAGGTAAGCAGGGGAAAGTGAAGTAACAAGCCGACCTCAGGGATCCCAACGATGTCATTCCTTGCTGAGTCAGCACGGGTAATTTGGGGGAAATTTGGTTTGATGAAGATGCGTTGAAGAGGGAGAGGCATTGGAGTTTAGAGAAAGCATTTTCTCTATCTCTAAGATGGTTTACTATGTTCGATTCCTGAAAACCCCAAGGATTCAGCAACAGAAAGGGTCCATCTACCTCTCCGCTCTTATCTGCATCACAACTGATCTGGGAGACTCTTTTCTCGCTGAAGATGTTGATTTGATGCTGATAGCTGAGAATTCCTCTGGGGTTATGTTTCAGAAAACGACAAAATGGAATGCCAGCAATCGCGAACTTGCTATTACTCTGGGTCCTCTTCCATTCAATCTGGCCCAGCAGTCTATGGTGTTGACGGTTAAAGTGCCGCACCCACCAGGATACTCTATACCCCAATATCCCCCATACCATTAGTGGTTGCTGCAACAAGTGCCCCATTTGGACCTCAATCGGCGCCAGCGGAAAAGCTGGTTCAACGGTACATTCAATACAGCGGCCGCGAATCACTCCCCCATAAAAATCTGGGAAGAGACAGGAAATAGCATTGCTCGGCACATATGGTAAGCTATTCTTCTACTTACCTTTCGTTTTCTAGTCAAGATGCTAAACAGGGATATTCCCAGGGATGCGGGCCTCGCAACAGTTACATATCTTTACATGATCTGTGAGAACATAAAGAAGAAGAACAAAGGCACTGAACCTAAAATTCCAGCTTTGAAACGGGTTCTATCCAACGCTCGCAACACACCTCTTCAGGTAGTTGAACTAGGGGCAGGATGTGGGATAGTGGGAATTGCATTGGCATCAATGCTTCCCAACTGTTCGGTCCTACTCACGGACCTCCCCGAGGTTGAGGACATAATAACACGCAATATTAATGCTGCCCAACTCGCAACCATGTCCAGTCTTCATTATCAAAACCTTGACTGGGACGACCCACCGAATGAACTCTGCCCCCAGCCCATTGAGCTCATTCTTGTTTCTGATTGTACATACAATGCAGACAGTTTGCCAGCGCTAGTCTCTACGCTCGACCGATTGGTTCAGACATCCCCAGAGGCAATCATTTTGGTGGCCTTGAAGAGAAGACATGACAGCGAAACGGCGTTTTTCGACTTGATGCAGTCGGCGGGATTTACGGCGGTGCAGGACAGCGTTGAGATCCCCTCGCAACACGAGGAGGTGGATGAGATTGAGTTTTACTGCTACAGCCGGCCAACTGGGGAAAGATAGCATGTAACATTGGATCCGGGGATAAAACGAACAATTACAAAGGACAATCCCCTTGGTCGAGATAAACCGAAAGCCCTACAGCTAACAATAAAATAATGACATCTAGGCATGGAAAATAAGAAGCGGGAGAACATAATCTTGGTTGTCTAGAATCGGCGTGTATGAAGGGTCTCATATATGCTCCAGTCACGACAATGCGAGGTTTGCCACGAAGATTAGTCTTATAATTCATATTCGGCATATCATCTTGTATATTCCTAAGGCATCTTTCCTGATACTACTTTCGGAGTTTTTTTTTTTCTGGAACTGTAAAAGTACGCATCCACAACAGGAACCATAGTGGATCAGTCCCGCCTTTTTGCGATGGACCCAAAGGGCGTATAGGACCAGTTACGAAGTAGCAAAAATCAGCAGGTGGATATGTAGTGTATGTTGATGTCAAACCAAAGTCACGGAAGAAATACTCAAGGTGTAAGTTGTTAGGAGCACAGCTCTTCTTCTGATGACTACATATGGGATAATCTGCTTTTGCAGTTGACTAACTTCTATTGACCAGTCCTTGGGACTTTTCCCGGTGTTCAATTCCGGGTTGGATAATGTTTATGAAGTCCTCTAGTAGTTGGTGAGCCATGAACAGCCTTTTCTTTTTATATCAACATTGATGATCAGAAGTGTTCTACATTTTCTAAATGATCATATCTCGTAGGGTTCTTTATCCCATCACTCAATGGCATAGGGTAGTATACCTCTACAACATACGTCTACTCCGTATAAGAAATTGGATTTGTACCCAACCCAGTATGATAGGCCACTCCTAAAAGGCCAATTGGAAATAGTAAAGAACCATGGATGATCATTTCCTGATCTGGTCACGGAAGTGGGAAAATGTGGATGCGTCATTATGGGTTCTCGCCCAAGGGCCTATTTTACTGAAGAGCTTGATCCCAGTTCTTGGTTATGACAGGCCATCTTTAGGGTATACCAAGGTATGCATTCGAGCTGTCACCTGCAAGTATATCACACATAGTTACATATATGTAGGTGCAGGAGTCAGGACTAAAAATATAAACCTCCTAGTAGTACGGAGTACAGGGTATAGAGTACCAATAATACGGCCACGTATGTACTTGGATGTATGGCGTACCTGGATTGAAGTTCAACTGTTCATCAAAACAGGGATATACTCCCGAGGTCTTTTTTCAAGGGCAAATCATAGATTACACACACACCGCTACCATTGAATCCAGCAATTCCGAGAGCTGGGGGGTTTTGACTCCTGCATCATGCAGTCACACTTAGGACAAGAAGAGCTATAGCAGAGGGAATAATAATGGATGCCTAAAGGCCCGAAATAATCGCGCATGATTATCCCAAAAGAGTAATAGAACGAAAAAGAGAGAGAGAGAGCAACGAAAGAGGATGCGGACTTGGACTTAGAAGTCGAACTCTTTTTCCGGGCTGAGTAAGCGCCTGTTTTTTTTCCCCCACGAAGGGCTCCGTCATCTCTTCCAAGGCTCTCTCTGTCTCTCTACAGGGCTCTCTTTTTCAACATCTTCCCCTTCTATTTGGGTTTTACAACTTATTATTTAGGTGAGTCTTTTTATTTACAAGTTACCTTGATTGGGATGTCCGTGTGTGACCCCGTGCGGCGTTTTATTTCCCCCAATGGTCGTGTGCCCTAAGCCTCGCTCACTCACTCCCCCCAAAAAAAGAAAAATTTCTCAAATCAAGAAAATTCTCTCCTTTCCCTCTCATCCGTCCTTTTTTTTTCTCTCATAGTTAATATAGCACCTGGAATATACTGGGCTTGCTAACCACTCGTCTGCTATCTTAGATCTCTTTGGTCCTTTAGGTCCACTTCTTTAGACCCTGTGCCTTTGGAATCCCCAAAGGCGATTTGGTCACCACGGCTCCAGTAGCCTCCCTTCTGGTTCTTAGCCAAATTGTCTCCACTCAACGTCTCCGCGACACTCTTAACAACATTCCACCTCCTGGTTCTCTCTGAACTCTCGTCCGGTGCGCCTTTTTTCGTCCCGTTGACGACCCCGGAGATTATTCCCTCGTTCTCTGAGCTGCCGCATAGGACTTCTTTCAAGGTTCTTCCTCTTCAGGGGGAAGGGTCTAGGAGGCTTGGTCCAGTCAACTACGGTTGTGACACTTTTCGTCCTCCCTAACGCGCAGTCGCCTGCCAGTTTAAAAACCTCTTATTATCTCTCTATTTTCTATTCAAATTGTGCTGAGTCGCAGCGGCATGGTTATGGCACCGACTGCGTGTGTATCGACTGCTGAAGTATGCACCTTCAGAAAAGACTATACCAATAGTTTGGACCATCTCGGTCTCGTCAGCAGTCATGGCGGGGACAACAATTTGTTGCAATCATCGTTGACTGCCAAGGAACTTGTTTTGGATGTGTTGAAGAAGCGGGCGGCGGAAGTGGATGTGGACCACTGTGGTCCTGGTGAGGAGGACCCTTTCTACGTGGCGGATATGGGTAATGTGTACCGCCAGCATATGCGCTGGAAGATGAATTTGGGCCGTGTGAAGCCCTTCTATGGTAGGCATCACTCTGCCACTGGATCGCCCACTCTGGAGCCCGGCTAACAAACCTTCAACAGCTGTCAAGTGTAACCCGGACCCGGAAGTCCTCCGGCTCATGGCCCAGCTTGGAAACGGTTTCGACTGTGCCTCCAAGTCGGAGATCGATATGGCCCTTCAGACGGGCATTGACCCTAGCCGCATTATCTATGCCCAGCCTTGCAAGACCAAGTCTTACCTGCGCTATGCTGCCGAGGTCGGCGTCAAGCAGATGACCTTTGACAATGCCGATGAGCTGTACAAGATCAAAGCTACCTTCCCTGAGGCGGAACTTTACCTTCGCATCTTGACCGATGACTCGACCAGCCTGTGCCGGTTGAGCATGAAGTTCGGTGCTTCCATGGACCAGGCTCGTCCCTTGCTTGAATTGGCTTATAAATTGGACCTCAAGGTCGTCGGTGTGAGTTTCCACGTTGGATCTGGCGCCGAGGATCCCGGGGCTTTCCTCAAGGCTGTGCAGGATGCGCGCTTGGTCTTCGATCATGCGGGAGAAATCGGCCACGAACTCCACACTCTGGATGTTGGCGGCGGCTTCTGCCAGGACACTTTTGAGAAGTTCGCGGGCATGCTGGGCGAAGCCGTGGACAGCTACTTCCCGCCGAACATTCGTGTGATCGCCGAGCCCGGTCGCTACTACGTAGCCACTGCCTATACTCTCGCCGCCAACGTCATTGCGCGACGTGACATTCCGGATCCCAATGATCCCTCTCGCGATGCTTTCATGTTGTATCTGAACGACGGCGTCTATGGCAACTTTTCGAACATCATCTTTGATCACCAGCACCCCGTGGCTCAGGTTCTGACCTGCGCCTCGGACGGCTCCCAGCCTGGTTCTCCGAACTCTGCGACTTCGGAGGACATTACTTACTCTATCTGGGGCCCTACCTGCGATGGCATCGATGTTATAAGTGAGCGTATTTCCTTGCCTGGCCTGCTGAACACTGGCGACTGGCTCTACTTCGAGGAGATGGGAGCCTACACCAAGTGCAGCGCTACCCGTTTCAATGGCTTCTCTGACAACCACGAGGTGATCTATATCTCGACTGAGCCTGGTGCCTCTGCTTTGCTCAACTACTAGTCTGAAATTTGTCTTGCTTGACAATCTTTTGCAATTGTGTTTTGTTTGGAATCACTTCTTGTTCGATACTTCAATATTTCGGGGTCCGTCTAATATAGTATCTATCGCGCGTTCTCGCTACATATGCAATCGTGTTTTCCGCCCACTAGATTCCAAATTAGAATAGAGCTCATCTTGTTTGCATCAACGTCCCTTGAATAGATACCAAAACGTATCTGTCGGCTGATGTTTTGTCTTCTGATTATCATTACTTCTTTCGGGCACAAAGTATGAAACATCTTGTTTGATTCCAGGTGTATCATGCTCTATCACGCTCTATCACCACATTTATAAGGTATCATGAGAAATAAACAACATCACAGCATCTATGAACAGAAGCTAGGCCCAGCAAAAACCTAGACCAGGCGTTCCACACTCAACTCCACACCTTCTCCCTCGCCCGCCTGGACCAGTCCGCCAGCTTCAAGCTTCTTCTTCCACTTGGCCGACTCATATCGAGCCAGAATCAAGGTGATACGGGCAATGACAGCCGGGTCTGCAGATTCCGCGACCACAGCGGAAGGGGTGCTTGTCCAGCGTCCAAACGCCCAGTTGAGGATATAATACTGCACCCCCGCGGTCTCGACCTTCTCTCTGGCATTCAAATTATCCGATGTCTCCACCGGAAGGTCCTGGTTCGAGCAGCGAACAATTCCTTTGATGCGATACACCTCCTCACGAGGCGCCAAAGAGAGGAACCGCTCGAGCGCAGCAACATCCACCGTCTTCCCCTCAACATCAGACTTCAACAAAACAGACAGAACCTCAACCTCAGACTGATGATCATGCTGATGTTCATTTTCATGTCCATGTGCATGGTTCCCAGTAACCGCATCCTCAGACTCCTTAAACAAAGCCCCATCAATCCCCAACATAACATCCATATCAACCCAACCCTTATTCGACTTAACCCAAGGCGTCTCAATCTCCAAATCTCCAACGCGATCAAGACAAACATCAAACCGCTCAGGCAAATCCTCCCACTTATTAAAAACAATCAAATCCGTATACTTGGCCTGGATCTTCGCCGTGTACGAAGTATCCTCATACCCCTCCCAGTTCTCGACATCAATAACACTAATAACACCATCAAGAACGAAGTGTCCGCCCTCTTCGCGCGCAAGCCGATTCACCTCCATCGCGAGCGTTGCAGGGAACGCGCTGCCGCTGGTCTCGATCACGATGCGGTCCGGTTGCACTTCGTTGCGGAGCTGGTCTAGTGCGTCGCTGAGTTGGCCGACGAGGTTACAGCAGATGCAGCCGTTGAGCATTTCACGCACGCCGCTGATGGATTGCGTTGAGGCTAGTTGGGAGTCCACCGCGACATCGCCGAATTCGTTTTTGAGGAGGGCGAGCTTGTAGGTCTTTGGGAGTTGAGGGATTAGGTTGAGGAGGATTGTTGTCTTGCCTGAGCCTAGGAACCCAGTTACGATTGTTATGGGGATTGGCGCCATTTTTGTGGTCGTTGGCGGCGGTCTTGGGGTCTGGCGTTGTTGCATGTTCGCGGCGTTAGGCTATCGCCAATCACCCGATGGAGGGGTAGCCCTAGTTTAGGTGCCCTAATTACCCGTTTGGGGTTGGAGGTGTATGGGTTTCGATTTCAACTTTAAAGGTGGTTTTTTTTCTCCAAAGGGAAGGTAATTACCTATTATCTAGGTCTGCGATTAATTGGATGCGAATGGTAAGTAAGTGTGGTACATCCGAGTAGTGCTGGCCTGCAAATGGCAACGAGCGCTAAACAAACCACCCAAAATGAACAATTCGGGCAGTTGTCTCAATATCTGCTAGATAAGGCTTTATTTCGACATTGGTGCTATCCTGATGATCATCTGTCACGGTTGCCACATAATACCAGGGAAGAGTGACGGCGGTCTTAGGTAGATGCTTACTCCCTCATCCCAAGACGGAGTTGATTCGTATCCCAGCAGCATGGACTGCTTACGTGTGATTGCAACTTGTATACCCTAGTCCCATACCGTGTGGTAGGTTGAATCATTCTGCATGGTGATCTGAGCGGTTGCACTGTTTATTCATATATGAGTCACCACATAGACTGACGATATGCATTACCTAGGTACCTGGGTAACACTTAGGCAACCCATAGTGGCGGCTGGGAAAAAGACGAAAGGCTGCTTGCCAAAATAGATTATATTCCCATATATCTACTTTCATTTATGTAGATACAGTAAAATCAAGTTACCCCAGTCATCTTCCCAATGTGGCAAGCTGGGTACATGCCCTTTGAGTTGATGTTACTTCCAGATACTAGCTTATATAAAACCTATCGGCCTTTTCAAATACAACATAGCCATCAAAATCTATCGACACGGCACGGAAACAACCCTCGAGATGCATTGCGAATGAAAGAGCTGAGATTGAGTCGAAAAGAAACCGTGGAGACCAGGTATGCTTTATATACATCAAGAGATATGCAGACCAGACAGGCCTATAGTAATCCAGATCTGGCCAATCTTCATAAAATCAGTCTGTGCACAAGCAATCCCAAGAAAAGAGCAGTTACCCAAATCCAACCCTAACCCCAACAATCAGATGATATCGTAAGCATTAATGTCTCGAGACAGACCGACTCTTCGACCCCGTTGTTCCCTTGGTCCGTCTATCGCTCGCCCTAGTCCATGATCGATTCTCAGACTCAGATCGCTCGCGGCGGGAGTGACGTGCCGGTGCACCGCGGCGGGTAACTACCGAGTGGTCTGTGGACTGCTGATTGTGTTCTTGGTTGGATTCGGCAGATTGATTCATACTTCCGGACCGGGAGCGCATGTTGTATGATTGAATTTGATAAAAGGGGGTTCGAGTTGGTTGTGGTTAAGTTGAGCGATGATGGGCGAAGTAGAGATAGGTCTTCTGTGTTCTCTTATACAGAGTGGCGGCGGTGGCACACTTGATCCCCACAATGGTATTTACTTCATTGTGAACATATCTTGATGCAATATACAGAGTGGCCCGAGTAATCCTTTCATTGACTCATTGGTATTGGATGATATGTTTTGAATCCACATGCGTGATTTGATATATTCATGATTCTATTAGGGCTATTAGGGTAAAAGTAAGTAGCATGACCAGGAACTAGACCCTCCAAAAATAGATTAGCTTACGGGATATTTACATTTAGATTTCTCCTCTCATTATCCCTTGTATAAATTATCTCCTTACGTTGGAGGCCATGTAAATCAAACAGCAAAAGAGGTGAAGGATAAACTTTCCCCTGGACCTCGGCCCAGCAGAAGGGGAATGGATTGACCTCGGTGAGGGGGATTTCGGACCTCACCAAGACTTTGATTACATTTCACATTTATCTTTCAATCTCACTTGTTCTATAGTCCCAGTCCCTTTGTAGCTTGAATCTGCTGGATAAGCTTAAATTCCACTGCAAAGGTTCCACTATGTCGGGTTCCAAGATTACCTGTTACTTCGACATCGTCAGCCCCTTCGCATACATTGCGTTTCACGTGCTACAGGTATAGATACTAACAATCTTAAGGAATTATTCATCTAACCTGATTCTAGAATTCACGCGCCTTCGCGAAATGTGAAATCACATATGTTCCAATTCTGCTCGGGGGTTTGATGAATGCATGTGGCAACAGTCCTCCAATCAACATCAAGAGTGAGTGAATGTTTTGAATGGGAGTGCAAACATTGCGACGATAAAATCTAATAAGTGTCTTTGTCATTCAGATAAGAAAGACTACTTGGGCCAAGAGCGAGTACGATGGGCGAAATACTTCTCAGTCCCGATCATAGAGGGATTCCCTAAAGGCTTCCCCTTCCGCACAGTACCTGTGCAACGTGCGCTGTGTGTAATCTCCCAGAAAGCACCCGAAAAGCTAGCTCCGGTGATTGGCGCTTTATTCCACGCCGTTTGGGTTGAAGGCAACACAACCATGGGCGAACCCGATGGCTTCGTCCCGGTGCTAGAGAGCGAACTTGGGAAGCAAGAGACTCTTGAGGTTATGTCTGCTGTAAGTTCGCTACTGTACTACTCGAGTGTCCAACTAGTTGAATAGAAAAGTGATCGCAAGGACCGAGCTAACTTGACCCCTAGATGAACAATCCGGACATCAAGGCCCTTCTGGCCGCAAATACGACTCGTTCTTTTGACTCGGGTGCTTTCGGACTGCCATGGTTTGAGTGTACGAACCCCAAGGGCGAGACCGAGGGCTTCTGGGGTGTCGATCATTTGGGGCAAGTGGCTGACTTCCTGGGTTTGGATCGCGCGCTCGACAGAGGATTTAGGGCGGCTCTCTAGCATGTGGGTAGTATCAATTTGGATCAGGTCTCGTGTGTTATAAAGTGCATTGTAAAATTTTGCCACTCAAATAGTTTCAATTCTGCGACGTCTTATTATATATGTTAAGTAATGAGCGAGGATCCTGTCCCCCTAGAGAAAATATGCGATCGGCGGCACCTGGGACGTCCAACAAGCAACCAAAGACAGACCAACGACTCTAGACCTCCAGTCAATGAAGACTAGACCCCGAAACGCCAAGGATATGCTGTCATTTGTCTACTTCGTTGGGTGTGGGTGCTTGTTGCTCATATGTTTCTCTCGTAGGAAGTCGCAAATCTGTTCGTTGCTCATTTTATCAATAGATTCGCGCTCCTCCTGGGAAAGAACTAAACACAACATCTTCGTCAACAACCGAGTCATGTACACTGTCGGGGAATATATGGAAACAAAGAACATACTTTCAGATACCGGCTCCTCAACCTCCTCGGCTCCACCTGAAATGGTGCGAATATGACCCTGAACAGTCTGTAATGCTCCCTGCGCAGCAGGTAACGCACCCTCCATTATAGTATCCTTCGCAGCGACAAACCTCTCTTGGGCAGCCGAGGTCACGGACTCCCCGAACTCCGACATGGAGCCACTAGGAGCCATCGAGTTGAATTGGTGTTTCACGCCCGCGAGAACACCTTCCTGTCCATTGTCTTTATCGAAAACAGCATTATTCACCTCCATCTCATCTGCGGACTGCATCCGTTGTTCTCGGGCAACATTGGAATCCAGGTACAATGTGTCGCTGGAGGCGTTTGGGCTCATGGTAATGTGTTTCGCCTGCTTGGAGTGGGAGTATTTTTCGGATTCCGGGAACGACATGGGCACGGTGAATGATGAAGTGGAATTATAAGCAGTAATGATAATGGTAAGACGTAGGGCTGAGCTGGTAATTGAACTTGTTTCTCTCGGCCAAGATGTTGATCGTTCCTAGGCCATGATGTCACCAGGTTCCGCCGTTCCACTTTAAAGTGATGCTGCCTTCATCGACGGCAACGATGGCAACGATACTCGTAACTTGACTTGGAACTAAAGTTGTTTTAGTTATTTTGGAAGTTATTTTTATGAGATATTCCTATGAAGAGGGCTAACTCTATGGATCGACCTACGATCCACTTTATTCAAAGGCATCGTTCTTGATCAGTTCGATGACTGAATGAACCATTTTCACGGTCTCATGGATTGGTATCTGAATAGTTCAATTTAGTAATGGGCTACGCACTTTGTACATGCAATCATATTCAAAGTCCCGGCTAGTTATAGATAGCAGCCTGAAGGCCAGGGATGATCTCAAGATCCTTCGGCCTATAGGTATACTTTCCCTCGCTAGAAATCTTAACATCCCGATTCCTTCGCTGTTGCTGCGTTTGTCGAACAGTAACCCACTGTTCAGTCGTGAGATGCTGCCCAATCTCGGTGAATGCATTGGTTGTCAAACCAAGCCTTTGGAGAAGGGGGCTGTTCTGAATAGGATCAAGGGCAACGTGATTGTTGGGGCTATATTCATTAGACTCTGAACACTCCGTATGTGGCATACTTGAAAGAACTTACCGAGCAAAGTACAGCACACCTAATCGATCAATATGGGCCTGGTCGGCAGGTGGTGCATGCACCCGATGAATACTTGACTTAATCAATCCGCCAGTAAGCGCGGTCAAGGCATCGCATGTGTTGATAGTGATTGTCCCATCTTGGGGCTTCACCCATTTCCATTGACCCTCCGAATTGAGGATCTGAAGTGCGGCTACTGGTTGCCGGAACAGAAGAGTAACTGTTCCTAAGTCTGTGTGCCCGGGGCTGTAGAGCTCTCCGACCCTCTTGTTATCTTCGGCGCTACGGGCTGCATAATGCATATAGCGCAGATGATCCTCGCCCTTGACGTCGTATTGGTGATCACGGACTAGTTGATCTTCATCGGGCAATTCAAGAAGGATTGCGAAGAGGCGGAGAAGCTTCTCAACGACTTCGGTGTGGCATTTCTATAGTCTCTCAGTTAGTTGAAGGGACAGATAACGATGATAAAAAAGTGAACCCACGCGACTGAAAGCTTCAATTTCTTTAATATTGTCAGCCAGGACAGTAGGCTGGGGTCGCTCGTGGTAACCGTCGAACTTTGGGAGATTGTACACCTGGACATTATCCTTGACGCCATTTCCTAGGCTGAGTTAGGACTCGTTAGTGTTGGGTAAATTTGTCCCTGGAAGCAATCTGCTTCTTACATTCGGTGTCCTGCAGGACGATAAGAATTGTATTCACCCCTTTCAAGGTCACTGGCGCTGTGGAATTTGAGCTTCTCTTCAAGTGGCAGGGCATAGAACTCCCCGCCCCAGAGCGAACTGGTTGTTAATATGTTCTTGACTGATGTTGAAGTTCTTCACATAGAAGAATCCTGTTTCCATACTCTGATTAGCACTAAGCCTGAAGACCAAGTCCAATTGAAGTGTAGCTTTGGGATGGTCTCATATAGATCCCTGGCTTGGCATGTAGTGCAAGAAGATATCGACTCACCAACATTTCTAACAGCATGATCAAGTTGCTTGACAAGATCTTCCTTTCCTCCCGGCTGTTCATACTGGCTCAGGTCCAGTGTAATAAGTTCGGCCCAGTCAACTAATCCACCGGCGAGCTATCAACAACACGAAAAATAGCAGGAAATCAAACATCACTCACGGTCTTCCTTGGTTACAGGGACCTGGTCATATCTTTCAATGTATTTACTTGGCATCTTGAACAGTGTATAAGTTTACGTGAGGCGATGGCTGAATATCTGCAGCGACTTCAAGTTAAGTTGCTTGTCACCACAACAATACCAGGAAGGCCAAAGCCGTATATAAGTCCATTCGTACTTAATTTCGATCGTATACCCCGCATCAGATAATCGGAGGGATTTGTCAAGAGCACGCAATAAATTCATCCGATGAGGCCTAAGATAACGGGTAGTTTTTTTGGCTTTCGTGTGGTAGGCCGGGGTATGCGCACGCCATCATACTTAAACATGTCGCCTCCGCCGGCGCATCAAAGAAAATAGCAAATGTGTTAGCTTCGGTTTCACACCTCCTTTCGTCTCGTGAGAAGCTAATTTTGGTGATCTAGATTTGCTGAAAGGGCGATGGTGACAGCGGGTGGGGGGATTGGTTAACATTTCCATGCCTAGCTGTCTTTTATATGCCGAGATTCTATAGCAAGATATCAACCTATAAGAAGTAATGGCGATGATCTATAATTCAATGCGCTTTGTTTCTTGCGCATTTGCCAACACCGTCGGACGTTCGCCGAGCCCTTGTCATGTCTGTCCTGAAGCAAAAGGCTGGGAGACTGTCCCCTTTAAAACTTCTCAAGGAGGTGTTTAATTGGTACCCATCATCCTATCCTGCTGAGGAGAGAAAGTGAGTAGATCAATGTTTAGGAATATATCCGAGGGGAGTATATACTTACGTTGGTAGATTATTGTTCAAGTTGGACTTGTCAATTCTGATCTTTGCTTGTCTCTGCTGTAAGTACACGATCCAAATGAGCATCTGAGAAAAGACACTAACACACTCAGTCTTTGTCAAGTACCTTGGTAAGCCTATTTCTACTTTGATTTTCCCTTTTGACTCGATTCCAATACATCACAGACCAGACAAACATTAGCAATGCATATGTTAGTGGACTGAAAGAAGACTTCGGCCTGTACGGCAATGAGCTCAACTACTTCAATGTCTGCTACTTTACATCATATGTGCTATTCCAAATCCCCGGATTACTACTCATGTCCCGCCCAAAATTGTGAGTCTTAGCGAAAGACCTGCGGACTGATAGCAAATAATTGACAAATTCCTCAGAGCTCGATGGTTGTTGCCTACCCTCGAAGTCCTCTGGGGCATCTGCACATTTGCTCAGAGCCGTGTGACAAACGTACACCAGCTCTATGCCCTTCGTTTCTTAGTTGGAATGCTAGAAGCGCCTGTCTTTGCTGGAACTCATTTCATTCTTGGTAAGTTCAACAAAAAATACATGGCGGTCTGAAAGTATATTAACCGCGATGAAGGCTCATGGTACACGGGCCCCGAACTCTTCAAACGAGCTGGAACATGGTTTATCTGCAACCCGCTCGGTACAATGGTCAGTGGATACCTTCAGGCAGCTGCTTATACCAACCTCTCTGGTGTTGGTGGTATGCCAGGGTGGAGGTGGCTGTTTATCATCGACGGTATATTTACCATCCCCGTGGCCTTGATCGGATTCTTTATCTTCCCCGGTATCCCTGGATCACCCAAACCATTCTATATGACGGACCGTGATGTTGCACTGACCAAGGAAAGAACTACGAGGGCCAAAATCCGCCAACCTGGCAAGATGAGTCTCGATGTCTTTAAGAGGACTTTTAAGAGATGGCACATCTGGGTGTTTATCATTTGCTACGCGTAAGTTTGAAATGTAATTACCTTTGGTGCAGTTAATATGCTAACATCAATGTTAGATGCATGATCATCTGCTCCTACCCAAGCAGCTATATGAGCCTATGGCTCAAAGAAGAGGGATACTCTGTGACTCAAATCAACCAGCTTCCGACTGCCACTTATGCGGTTAATATCGTGGCTTCCTGGCTAGGAACGACATTAGCTGCAATTTATCCCGAATGGATTATTTATACCATTGCATCGGCATGCTGCCTATTCTCAACATTATGCATGATAATTTGGAACATTCCTACAGGGTTGAAGTAAGATACCAAGATACCTTGTTCATCAGTCCTTATATTGAGTCTATGTTGCTAACAATTCTGTTCGAAGATTCGTTGCCTGGTATGTTTTCGGAATGGCTGGATGCTTGAGTCCAATCCTCTACTCCACCATCAATATAATAGTGAGAGACGATGCCGAGGAGCGCGCTCTCATCATGGTATGTCCATTTCCTGTCCCTGTGATAACAAGGACTGATACTGATATCTCCTGTCTCGCACTATAGGGCGCCATGATGACATTTGGCTATTCTTTCAACATATGGGTTCCTTTGCTGGCATACCCAACCGCCAGCCCTGACGGTGCGCCAAGATGGCGGAAAGGATGGCCAATATCATTCGTCTTTTTCTTCCTGCTATGGGCTGGCTTTGTGGCTTCTGTTTATATATGGCGAAGGTAAAATCCCATGGATAGATATTCAGGGACATCTAACTGACATCTCATTGTAGGGAGCAACGGAGGGAGGCTTTAGCGTCCCCTCAGGAAAGTAGTGACGAGGAAACGGACACTGTGATAGTTAATGGGACCCCGGCATTGAAGAACTGAATCAAACTTTGACCTTTGGGTTATTGTTAGTAGTATATAAAATATCATTTCATCTATACTGTAATACGCAATGAATCGTTTTGTGTATAACTCCAAATTTGTTCCCATACAGTTCAAAGTGGCTCGAAGCTACGAGTTTATACACTAGTAACCGATGTTTAATGGTAAATGAGATAGATAGATAGATATATAAGACATATATATATATAACTAGTTAGGTAGTTAGTTATGTACTTGTTGTGTTACACAATTGGCGGGGGTTACCAAGCAGGCACTGGGCCACAAAAACATATGAATAGCTGTTCGAACTAATCATTGTTGTTTTATCATTGCTTTGTCTGGCTGCTAAGGACGGCTGCAGCCGATGGCGCTAAGTAAGTTTCAACCATGAGCCTTGGCCATACAAGCACTACACTAACATATGTATCTGTAGGGGCATTGTTATTATGGGTATCGGTCCCGGCAGTCTGAGCACAGCCGCTACGCAAGCCGCCGAGGATCTCCATGGAAAAGGTGTTGTCACTGTTGCATCGCTCCGTCCCTTCTTTGGCGCAGTGGTTCCCAGCCCCGAGCCTGGAAATATGTAAGTCGACTATTTCCAACATTCTACAATGACATCCTGACTGATGCAATAATATATAGTATCAGTTCTGGCTTCTTGCATGGCGAGCAGTCCCGTATTCAGCTCCAGTTGGCTCTTGCATCAGGCTTCGAGTTTACTGAGATTCGCAGGATCTTCGAGGGCGAAATTCGGAAAGCTGTCTTCAACTCTGTCACGACCTACTATAACGCCACAGGTGTCTAAGATGCAGACGGTGGGCAACTCTTTTTAACTCGCCATTGTAACACCAAGCTCCTTAACACTAGGGTGTAAGGAACAGCAATATCAACCGGGCAGTCGTCATATGATTTAATTGGGGTAACCTTTCCTTAGGGAGTCCCAAGTGCTAAACTAGACGAATAGGATGTTGGTTTTGGAACGGAGAGTGCAAAGGATATATCGCCATTCCTAGTTAACTACTTCTTAATTAGCCTTGATTCCTTAGATTCACGAAGACGCAGGAGATGGCATGGGCCGGAGATAGCTAGTATTTTACATTATTTAGCCTTAATGTTGTTTAAGCTATCAGATTCAGACCAGAGAGGGCCCTCCAATTTTCGTTAAACTAGTAACTAGATGAGATCATAGAAGAGCACAATATAATGTACTGTGTGATGGGTAATACACCAAAGAAAGTTGAAAGGTGATTTAGGTCCATGGGGTGTCTTATAGGTTCTCACTGTAGCTTCTATAAATAAGACCGTCCCTATCTAGCAGGTGCTTATTATTTCTCTCTGGCCTGGTTCTTCTTCCTCTCTTCCTACCATCATCCATCTTCATCTTTTTTCATCAATAATGGGTCGTAAAGCTCATCCCCCAGTGTCGCACGATCTTTCCGAAACCGCGCAAGCCTTTTCTGCGGTTTTTCGGAGTTATCACCATCACCGCCATCATCACTATCGTCGTCGTCGCCCGCACCCCGCCGTACCACCAAGAGGCTCGGGAGAGGCTCGGGAGGGATATAGTTAATGTTGGAATTGTAAGACGCTTGGAGGGAGAAGAAAGTCGCTGTATACGCCCAGAACCTCTTGAGCATCTAGCAACGCCACGTTTTCGAACGAAGGACCCACGTTTGTCGATGAACAGAATGCCGACGATCATAATGCTGACATCAGAAATGTCGACGGGTCGGACGGGTCCAGATCATGGGACGGAGAGGATCATAGGACTCCCAGAATAGACCAGCCCAAGCAAGGGAGCCAGCAACTCGTACCGATGACCATCCAGGTCTAACGGAACCTACAAAGATAATAGAACCTCAGGTCAGCATCAAAGGCACATGAAACAAGCGGGGTGGATCCCTACCTTTTCATAAAAGCGACCGGCGTCGCAACAGTATTGGCAGTCATTGGTATTTCCAGCGTCCCGGACGCAGGTAAGTTGAAACCGAGCCCAGAAACCAGTTTCGAGATCATCCAGTTCTCAGCGCTCGCTGGCACGCATTAGAGGCAGAACAGAGCCTGGTTGACCTGACTGATACAGAAAACTGGTGGCGAGTATAGATAACCAGGGGAGGCATCTTGCTAGTCTGGAAGAAAAGAGAAAGGAGCAAGTTCGCCTTTGAGGTTGAAATAAAACGGAAGGTAGTGGATATATATAGCTCATACGGCGTCTATTGTGTCTGGACAAGGCTAGTAAACAGTTGTTATTATCAATTAGAAGGGCGAGCGAATGGGACGAAGAGAGTAGAATGAAGAACGAGGAACGAGGGAGCGGAGGTAGGCAAAGAAATAGACTAACCAGGTACAGAGTAGTGTACACGTACTGCTCCGATTGGAGGTTCGTGCTGTCGTCGGAGATCAATTGGTTGAATGCGTGTAGATTGCGAAATAAGAACTCCGCGAGGGTCCCCAATATGGCGTCGGGGTCCTCGAGCGACTGGTCAGGCTATTGCGTAGTCGATCGCTGTAATGATCCATCGATTTCCCTTCGGTGTATGTAGGAGTGGGCCGACAAGGTCGACATCCCGATCGTTCAAATGGGTGGATGTCGCTCGTTACCATGTGTTCGGCCCATTCTCGCTCTAGGACTTTGCGGGAACCCTATGGCACTTCAGGCACCGCACTCTTCGCATTTGATTTCGAACCACTTCAGGTGGATGGTCGTAATCCTAAATCATCCATTTCTTTGGCCATTTACCGCGCACATTTTGCATATCCACTCTTTCAGTGTTGGATGCATGCCAGTATCATTCACTCCTCCAGAATTGCTTGAACTGCTTTTCGAAGGGACGATGGCAATGCCAGCAGCCGTTTCTGTCCATATCTCCCCATCAGCATTGGATATTGAGACGGAGGTCTTGGATTTGCTGTTTCGGTAACAGGTTCTAAATGCAGCTAGCTTTAGCCTTGGTCACCAAGACGATAAATGTGGCACAAGAGGACACAGATATACTTACTATCGGGTTACTCGTATAACTCCCAGAAACCGTTAGGTGCCAGGTCAATCAATGAAGAAAGAGTGCCTTCCAACTAAAAAAGCAAAGACGGGGAAGAGAGAGAGAGAGATCCTGAGGGTTCTTATAGCAAGAGAATCTCTCTGCAAGCAAACAATCTCTCCTTCCTAATTAGGCATAGTAGCACTATGTCAACAAACAAAACAATCAATCAATGATCCTTGACATGTGACAAAGCATGTGCCAGAGCAAGTCCAGCTGTGCACTCACCCGCCAGTTGGTGTGATAACAACGCCATGTTTCAATATCGGAAGGATTTTTCGATGAAGTTGTGACAGCTCTCTTCTATGCAACTGCGTCTGTGTGCGGAATTTCTGGGAATTCTTTCATGAAGCTGCGACAAGGCATGCTTCCCATGCTGGACCAGGTGATATCCAAACCCGGACTGGTGCAGTTCATCAGGTGTTCATTGAGGCCCTGTCACATTATATAAGGAGGCTGGAGAAACTCCTAGGTAATAAATTTAAGTAATAAATCGTTCGCAAGAAGATGAGTTAGAATTATGTAGTTCGAAAGTTGTACTGATAGGAGAGAGTGACCAAAGAAGAACCAAATATATATATATATAAGTAGTAGGTATTGGGAGAAAACGACTAGAGACCTTTGACTGAGCGTTAAAACTATTTTCATGAAGCAAACCAAAAAGGTTGGAGCAGTTTTTATATTGACTACTGGTAAGCATTCATATCTGGTAGCTAATAATGTAGCAATTTTGTTTGCAATAGATCATCAAACGGCGGTTTGGCCGAGTAAGTTAAATCCGCTCACCGACGTCTTATTTCTTTCATTATTGAAGCTACGACCATATATTTTCCTGGGCTTTTTCTATGTACATACATATACCATCGATGCGCCCGTCAAGCTACTGCTCAAAGGCCCTCATAACAGCAATACCAGCCACTGAGCCCGATGCAACGCGATTGTGACCTGAAACATTACTAGTCAGTCTGTGGAATTCATAGAAGGCCTTGCTTCAACGTACCACCATAACGAATCCGTTCCCATCTAACTGTCTTCACAATCTCAGTTCCATCTTGATTGTTGATCTCATTCTTCCAGATCTTGACCTCGCTAGGGTTGCCGTCCTCCACTTTATGATACGTCATAGCGCCGGGAGCACCTTTGATGTGGCTGCCTGTGGCAGCCTCCCAAACGCGGCGTCCTTCGTACCAGGGAATTTCCGCATCGTCAAAAGCGTGAACTATTGTGAGATCAAGGCTTTTATCGGTGTAGCCCATATCTCCAGCCTTCAAGGAAGTAGTATTCACGCCGGTAAGACGCGCCAGTCTTCCCGCCGTGTCCCAGTGATCCACAATGTGGCTCAACAACCACTTCTGAGACCGAGGATATCCCATTATGGGGGACAGTATAGGCGGGGTGAGGCCTTTGAAGCTGTAGGATTCGATGAGATTGGCTAGGCTGCTGAAGGACGCCAGTAGGACCACCCCGGCAAATGGCTCGGCATTCTTGATGGCTGGCTGGATAGCTGCCAAGTCAGATGATCCGAATGCAAAACGTTCTGCCACTGCGGTTGTGACTGCAGTTCCAAGACTTTGGCCCACGATGACGATGCGAGAAGTGGGAACCTTTAATGGCCCTGCGGTAAGAAAGTTAATGAGGGACACGCCATCCGTGATAAGCCCTTCCTCTGTGGGAGTTCCAGTGCTAACACCAAAGCCACGATAGTCAATTGCGAAGACGTGGACTGGGTTTGACGGGGTAGACAAGCTCAGCATTGAGTTGTAAGTGGCAGGGCGTTGAGCAGAACCCAAGTGCGCCGCATTTCCGTGGACTTGGTTGTTCAAATGTCAGCTTCCTACAAACAGGAATGCAGGTTGTATATCACCTACAGCTTACGACGACTCGTGCATTGGGGTCATTGGCGAGAAGCTTGTGGGCAACCGTCTTCGTGTAATCCTCCGCTGGACCTGTAGAGGGATTCTCCATTAATTCTTTTTCGTTTTCCAAGCAAAGATGCAAGGGCATCAAGTGCCAGCCGTAAACAGTTTCGTTGTCGGCCGTCACTAAATGAAATGGTTGGACTTGGGTTCCTTTAGGGACCAGTTAGCACACATATTTCGCTTGGTGTTCCCCGGTACAGAAATGCCATACTCAAAAATCCAAATTGCTCAACTTGGTTGACATCTTGCCACAGGCTGGGATTAATCTTGTTGGCATAAAGAAAACTGTGTTATGTTATGTTAGCTCACTCTGAGCGTAGGTCCGGGTACTAGATACATACAAACGTTGGACCTCCGGGAAGGTCAAGGAGAGGAGACACAGCACATAGAGCAGTCCACCGGCTGCAAGAGACCAGTAGGCTTTCCTGAAAATAGGTTTAAGCTCAACCATTATGCGTTCAAAGTTGAGGTGATGTCTGTTGATAGCCGCATGGCGGAGGTGAGCGGACAATCTCTTGGAAGAGACGGTGCTGATAAGCGGCGCGTTATCGCGTCTCTCACATTTCTCCCTTCCACCCTCTCCCCATCCCCCTCCAACATCTCGCTATAGAATGCTTCTTATACTTCCATCGTGGATATCGTGATTATATCTCATTTAAATCTACCATGGCTGAAAAGCGCAAACTTCCGGCGCGTGACCGCCGTGAATCTGCAGCCAAAAGACGTGTCTCCGAAGCACCGCAGTCTCACAAGAAAAAGGCGCCAACTCCTCGCGCTCCAACTCCCGAACCGGTTGACGCTCCTCTACCGACTAAGGTCAAGGATGGAGATCCCTTGCCTATTGTCCGCATGCGACAGCCACTTTCCTTGTCGGACAATGAGTACCAGTCAATCGCCGAAAGGTTTGCCATCTCAGCCGCCCCCATTGGTGTTGCATGACTGACATTCTCTTATCTCAACAGTGCAGTTCTCCTCGCTTCACTCGAACGTTCGAAGAAAAAATGGCTAAGTGATGGCATCCTTGTTCGATACTACACAAAGCCGAAGAAGACGAAGCGCGAACAGATCGAGAAGAACAACCCATCGAAAGACACTATGGCAAAAGTTGGGCCTTGCGATGTCACCATCGGTCCCCATTTCTTTGATGCCATGATTTACATTGTCAAAGATCCCAGTGCGCCACCGGCACTACAATACGCACCCCCACAACGACCGATGGTTCACTATGGCCACCCTAATAACTTCCAACAATACCGGCCGTATCCCACCCCATCCAATCAACAACGACCTCCGCAATATTCACCCGCTCCTCCCGGTCGACCTGGGTATACAGGCAGCCACCCTTCTCCCCAACAAGCTCGTGGCCCGAATCAAGGCAATGCGCCCTCTCCCCAAGGAGGACAAAAGCCTCCACAAGGGCAAAAGGGCCAGCCAGCCAAGCCAAGTCCAGATCCTGTGATTCAAATGCTGGCTACAAGGGCAGCTGCGGACCCTGAACTGAAGGCCTTGATGCGTGTTGTTGCCTCAAGCCAAGCATCTCAGGAGCAGCTTCGGGCCTTCCAAGCGCACATCGACGAACTGAATGCAATTATCAAATCAAGAGAGCAGCAGGAACAACGGCAGCAATCTTCAACAGCACAACCAATTACACAACATTCAACCCCTACACCGCAAACTGAGACTCAGAAACAACAAGATGATGGGTCGAAGTCAGTGTCGGAGAAATCCCCACAAACGTCACAGACCCCATCCAAAGGTTCCAAGGAGCCACCGGTGAAGACGGAGGCGCAGCCTCAGACGCCTGCGCAGGCCCCACCGAGCCAGGCATCTAAACCTCCCCAGGGTGCCAGTGGATCGGGCACCATCAAGGAAGAGCAATCGGCCACAGAGCAAAAGGGCTCCCAGCCTGCGCCATCGGAAGCAGGGCGCCCAGTTGTACCGAGCCAATCAGTGACACCTGGTGCTGCAATCACCCCAGCCGCTACTTCCACTTCTCAACAGCAACCTCCTGTGGCCAACCCGACACCCCCAGCCAGCGCTCAAGAGCCAGGAGCACGACCGGGACTACCGTATGTCCCCCATCAACAACCTGCTTATGGGTCACAACCCCCACTTCAGTCTCGACCACCCCAATATGGTTCTCCTGTTCCGTTCCCCCGCCCACCTCCAATTCCTTATGTTTCCCCACTTGGATCTCCACCAGTAAACTACAAGTCTGTGGTGTTCGAATTCACATCTCCCTTAACTCCATATGGAAGCAGTACCTCGGGTCATGCCGGTTCGGGTGACCGCTACCTTTTCCCTGAGTACACCATTCTGGAATGGCTCCCAGCCGAGAACACGGTCATCGCTTCATTTTTGGTAGTGCGTAAGGTTGCTCCAAACACACCATTTCCTCTTGAAACTGCCACAGAAGCTGCAAACTCCAAAAGCAAAGGCAAGGGGGCATCCAAAGCCAAGAAGGCCGAACCGAAAGTCAAAACCGACAAGGGCAAACTACCAACCGAAACACCAGCCCCCAGCCAACCAGGGACGCCTACAGCGGGGACGCCACAAAAGCAAGAACCTACCGACCAGACAGGTCTCTCCACCCCTGGCCTCCCAGGGACTCCTATCAATGAGGCGAATCTCAAAGAATACTGGCAACCAGTCACGTTCCGCATCCATGCCCCCAATGCTAAAATCCTCGAACCTCTAGCCCGCGTCGTCAAGCCAGCCGACGAGGTGCGCAAATATATGAATGATATCATGGACCGCGCCGAACGTGCGCCAGACGGCTACCTGGCCATGCGTCTACCTCATGAGGCCGCGTCAGAATCGAGGGACGGGACACCTGCTTCTTCGGGAAATGTCGGTACCGGAACCCGCAGTCGTCTTTCCCGTGTTCAGCTGCCTGGTGACGAATCCGAGGCGGAGAATTCCGCTTTCGAGTTCGAGGAGGATGAAGAAGATCTCAAGGATTTCTATGATGCGCCGAGCGGACTACCGCCGTTGAAAGCATAATCATACTCATAGAAGCGTCTGAAGACGTGTATCCTTGCACCGGTGGTTGTTCGAGACCACGTGTAGCCTGCCAGAGAGCTCGAATAACTATATAGTTAGTATCGATCTGCCAACCACTGACACATGTGGTTGAGATCGAAAGGGCCCGGCGGCAACAGCAGTCCCTGTGAAACCCATTGGATTTATACAAAAATCTGAACCTCGATGATGCGTCTGGGTTGATGTTTGTACAATATATACGGCTCTACTTGTGCCAGTTTTTGAATCTATGATAATGGAATTGTTGAAGCCTTTACCTTTGGTGATGTACTTACTGGCTGTCATCTCCAATACCCACGTTTTGCGGAAGTAATAAAACACCCCGACTATACGTATGTTCAAAAGGCGGCAACGGGACTGTAGGAAATATGTCGCTAGAAATGCCGTGAGCTTTGAGTGGCCCAAAAATTTCAGACCTGTTCAGCAGGTAATTAATATAGGTTTACGGAAAACCTCGCTCCAATCAATCTTGACACCAGGTCGCAGAAGTCAGGACGAATTCAAACAAAGGCTTGCTCGGTAAATAAACAACAAACCAACGCCTTAACCCCTCCCACCAGAATATCTCGCCTCATCCCCAATGATACCAGCCGTCTCCAAAAGCCACCTCGCACTCTCTTTCGCCGAGTCCCCAGCCCCGGCTTTGAGATTGATATTACGACGACGCTCAGCCTCCCGTGCCTCGAATTCCCACTTTGCACGCTGGATCTCCACCGGACTTAACCTTGGGTCCGCGGAGAACGACGACTCCGGATCTGGGACGATACCCCAAATCTCCAGGGTGTACAGATCAAGCTTGACCTTTGTGGGCGGGTCTCCGGGGGATGTGTTGGCAGCGGGTAAGAAGACGCCATCGTGTCCAACGGGTTCGGCATGGAACTCGGCGGTTTCTATGTTGGCGTCGATGATGAGACTGCCTGCTCCGTGTGGAGTCGGGTAGTTTTGCTGCGTGCGGGACGGGGCGGGGATTCGGCAGCCGATTGCGATGCCGGTGTTGGGTGAGAAATAGGCGGTTGGGGTGTTGGGCTTCTTTGCGGATGGGGAGGGGTTGCCTGGGAGGAGGATGTGCTTCGGGGATAGTTGGAAGAGGCAGGGGAGAAGGTCGGATGTTGAAGATGAGCTCGAGGTCGATATGGAGGTCTTCCACGTTTGGGGAATGTAGGCGCCGAGTGTTATCAATTCTTCGCTAGTTGAGTCTGCTGGAGATCCTTGCAGGAGGAGTAGGGTGGCAGTTTGCCAGGTAAGAACGTGGTGAGAGAAAGATGTTAATGAAGACCCGTGGGCGCTTGTGGAGAATACGGGATGTAGTTTGACGCTGCTTCGGAAGATATTGATATCGGGTGATGTGGACGGGAGGAAGAATGAAAGATGGGAGGTAAGTGTTGGGTTTAATATGGCCGACTCAAAGCTTCCCGGAAGTGTAAGTGCAGTCGGCGTCGAGGGAGGTTCTTCGTTTTCCTCGCTTTCCTCCTGCTCGGTCTCCGTAGCTTGACCCTTGTGGTGGCGTTGGGATAGATTCAAATTCTTGCTGAAAAGCATGTGCTCGAAAAGAGCAGTCAGCGGATCGAACAGATATGGCAGAGACAACGATATCGTTCGGGCAAAAGCCTTGTAAGATATCCCACCATCGCTCTCTTCCGGCGAAAAGGCTGCAATGATACTGTCTGCTTCTTTCTTGAGCGATATCATACGCTGAACATCCAATCCAGATGTGTATACCCTCAAAGACTCCAATGGCTTCAGTGGTGCAATGACAAGCAATAGCATAAGCAATCGGCGGAATGTATCGATAGAAATCCGTGTCTCGTAAACGGTCTTGTCAACGCGGTGATCGTGTTTGAACACTTCAATCGCATCAAGAGACTCCAGTGCTGCAAGGGCAAGATCATCATCCTCATCTTCATCGTACTCATCGTTGGCCGGTGCGTCTATAGAGAACCCCAGCGCATGTGAATGCTCAGCGGGAGCTTCGAAATCCTCAGTCGTACATTCTCCACTAGACTCGGCGGGGATCTTCCTCCCCACATCAGCTAGACTACCAAAGAGTAACTTGATTCGGTCCTTGTGTCCCCGCTTTAGCGCTTTCCCATAGCGCTCAGTCAAGAGCACAACCACCTTGACCATGGCCTCGAAGGTCAACACACTAGGTGCGAGCGTGTTTTGGAATGGAAAGGCTCCCAGGTAAGAGACCATGCGGAAGATCACCGGCCCTGCATCTAGCGGCTGTTTCTGGGAAGAGGTATAGATACCATCTGGGATACCCAAAAAGTCTGAGAGGACTTTCTCATTCCAGTACCGCAGGCCACCCTGCTCTAAGGCCCGAGAAAAGAAGTTGTCTTTGAAATGCGTGAGCTCTAATGGCGTGAAGCATTTTGTGGCGAAACGTTCGGCAAGCACGGAGCTCAACTCCTCTATTTACGTATGTGGTTAGATACAACTGTCATTGACCAAACGAAGAGATTCCCATGTCAAAGTCGACGCCAAATTGTTGGCAATTACAATCCACCAAGAGAGTTGCAACTTCATGTGTCTCCCGGAGCCAACCATGAATGTGACATATAGAACTCACCTGGGGATGATGCACCATGCTCATTGGACTGGGCTACACCCATTGTTGATGGTTGATGCGGGGATGACCCCACTGCTGGGCTACAGCTGAGTTCCGTCGCAGTGCCCAAGAGCTAAGATCAAGCGATAAGTTGGAGTAAGAGAAAGAGGTGTGAAATGGAATGGTTTAGAATGGTCAAATCGTCCGTAAGAAAAAAACAATATCAATGAACTGTAGGAAGTCAACATGGAGAGCAGAATTCCATGAGACGACGTCAGGTTGTTGCCTGAGGCACAAAACAGTTCTAGACTCGTGCTTGGATGCCTGAGGCTTTCAATTTCTCACAGAACATTACGTAAAGTTATGTAATGACAGCGGGTGGACCACATGACCACCCACCGAGGCTTGGCATCTGCCACTTGCCAAGTTTGGACTAGTACCTACATGGCCCGCGCTCACCGCTCGGTCTCCAAGGCTCTTCTGCCCATTAGGTAACCCGATAGCGTTTCCAAGGTTGTCGATCCTCCCCTACTCCATACTTGCAATATACATCTGTCACACCTTCTTTCAGTCAAAATATGGACCCATTACCCCTAGAAAAAACACCATCACGACAATTTCATGCCAGTACCACCGAGATAGCTGCAAAAGCTCTTGTTGATAAAAACATCCCTTTTGTGGAGTGGGGATCCCAGATACAGTACAGATGTGGATACCATTTGGTCCTCAGAGTAAGAGATGGGATATCCTGTTCACCAATTCAGTGCACCTCTACTGACTTCTTAATCCTAGCTTGTTGAATGGGCAGTACCTGATGAACTGCTATCAATTTCGTCCCAGACTCTATCAGACAGTGGCATTCCTTGTGTCCCCCCATCCACAGGGCTCACTGGGATATACGGACAATGGGAGCGAGCGGGATTTATTCACAGTTTAGACCCAGTTGGCTCGCAGAGAATATTTCTCTACCCATTGTCCCTTATCGGCCTGACTCTCCAAGACACTGTTGAAGTCACATCTACTTTTGACCATACACTGAGGATATTGACACCTAAACCTCGAACCTACATGCTGTCATTAATACGCTATCTTCTTGACCACCATATTAGTGACAGCAGCAGGTATCATGTGCATAATGATCTACTGGGTTTTATATCCTATTATATCTTGCACGATACACCCCTGAATACTAAGGATGGCAAATTAGAAGATGACGAGAGCGAAGAAGATTTCCAGAAGAGGGTGGAAGAAGCAGTTAATAACATGAAAACCTGGGACTGGGGCTCAACAGAAGAAAGATTTTTGGTCATTGCTGAACGTGTCGTCCGCGACTGTCGGACTATTTCAGAGCTATCTAGTTGCAAATAAGCGCAAAATCCCGCGCGTCCATCGTCACCTCGAGAAGAGAGCGAGTAATGGCATGGAGTTCATACAACTTTCGAAAACATGGCAGCAACTCCTCCTTCGGCTTTTCTGGGTAGGCTGTAAAATCAATACGAAGATTGTTCTTAGCAAGCCACTGCAAGACAGTCGTCATGTCCTCAAAATCACCACCAGCTTTTGTCACACTTTGCGGGCGGGTAGATTCAGCAATGGAATGCCACCTCTTGATCTTCGTAAAGATGAGAACGGATGGGTGTACAATCGGGACTGTAATCGAATGGCCAGGGAAAGTTCAAGGTGTATGAAGTATAAAGTGTAGAGGCAAAAGGACACTAACTTGTAGTATCACCATCGCAACCTAGTAAGGTTTTGGCAGAAATATAGTATAGGGGAACCGAATTCGCGTCAGGTAGTTTCATCGGTCGAGTTTTGCCACCTCGAAGAATCTCAACTTTGACCGCATCGTCACCGTTCATGAAAGCCAGGTTATTGGCACGGGTCAATTGAAACCCAGGGACCCGAAGCAGCATCTGCCGGACGTTCGCCGGGTCTTCATCAACGATGAGATCAACATCCTAGTTCAAGTCAGCTTGAGTAATTGCGTCAAGGATCGAAAAGATATTGAGAGGGCGTACCTCAGTTGTCCTTGCACCACCAACAAGAGATGCTGCGTATCCACCGATAAAGCCATGACGGCACTGATTGCGAGTGAGGGCTATTGTAATCTCTTTGGCTGTGGTATCAAGGCGATCGAAATGGCTCTGGCGCGACTTATTCTCTGATTGTTCCATGACTGATTTAGTATGTCAAGGCTTGGATGGGGTTAAAACTAGGAGAGGTGAAGGAGGCACAACTGTAAGTTTTCAGCCTTTATTTTTAGGCATTGGTTCACGGGCGGTAATAGCGACCCAAGTAGATACTATATACTATATACTATTTAACAAATCGAACATACCTAGGTACTGAATACATTCACATCCTTGACTTGGTCATTGAGATATAATAATAGCCTCTGTTCGACCGGCTCTAGCCGGGACTTGGTAGTCAAAGCCATTGCGACAGTGGGCGACAGTGGGCGACAGTGGGCGCCAATGGTAGGATCAACGACATTCTGTGCAGCAATATCACATTGTTGCCTAATTTTCTTTCCCCTTACCTTTCACCCTTTCTGGAAGAAATAAAGTAACAAGCGGAGTTAAGCTAGCCCTAAGTGTACTTATCGAAGGTGCCTGGGTATTTTGGGGGCCAATTCAAAAGAACTAAGCATTGGATGTATTTAACCATACCATAATTATATAGAATAACTTCTTAAGAGTCCTTTTTGTTCGAAATATCAGATATCTCCAGGGCTATTTTTAACTACATGTGGCTTCTGCGTCCTCTATACACATCGGATCATATATCATCTCTTTCAAGGCAACAAGAATAATAGGAGTTTCTGTATTCCACTAAGCATCAGACATTGATATATATATTAACACTGAGTGTTGTCTGCCTTCGAAATGCTTTTGACCTTGTCCTTCTCTTCTATACTTTCGTATCGTTTTTTTGAGGCATTCTGACCTCACAAATTCCTTGCGCCTCCAATTGTTCCTTGTGCCATATATATATACTTGTAATCATGCAATTTCCAGTCTCGGGGTTGTTCCTTATGGTGGTGTCAGCCTTCGTGGCCCGGGCATCCCCCGTCCAAACTGCTGTGCCCCAGCCCGGGGTGTTCCCACGGGATACCAGTCCCACGACTACGGCGACGAACTCGCAGACCACCACAGCGACCACCACCACAGCCACTGAATTCGAATTGACTTTGAGCCTGGATTTGCCCTCCGACACATGTACGCCCACCATAAAGCCCGACAAGTATGGCTGGGTACCGGCCTCGGAGTGTGATGCCTTGTACCTCTACTACCCGTCTTTTGGAGCCGCAATCGCTGCCGCCGCGATTTTCGGGATCCTGTTCATCGCCCACTTGGTGCAGGCGACTATGTACAAGGCGGGCTTTGCCTGGGTCATGCTCATGGGGGTCTCGTGGGAGACCGTAGCTTACGGAGTCCGCGCCTTCAGCACTCACAATCAGCAGAATGAACCTGTCGTGACTGTCGCCCAGATGTTTATTCTTTTGGCTCCATTATGTACGATCCAAAACTTCTTACCTGCAATACCACAATTCAATAGTACTAAACCTGGATATAGGGGTCAACGCATTCGACTATATGGTTCTAGCAAGGATGATCCATTTCTTCGTCCCCGAGCGTCGCCTTGGCATGTTCAAGCCATCCTTGCTAGCCAAGTCTTTCGTCTTGCTTGACTTCGCATCCTTTGTTGTTCAAATGATCGGTGGCTTGATGGCCACTGGTACGGACGAGCAGCAAATGAACGGCATCCACATCTACATGGGCGGCATAGGCATCCAGGAGTTCTTCATCTTGTGCTTCTTGGTGCTGGCTGTGCAGTTCCAGCGATTGATGCTGCAACTGGAGAAGGCTGGCCGATTGCCTGTCGAGAAGCATAATTGGCGTCGATTGCTATATGCCCTGTATGGAAGTCTAATCGCCATTACTGTGCGCATTATATACCGCTTGGTTGAATTTTCCTCCGGTTATGGGGAATCAAATCCCATCCCATACCATGAATGGTATATGTATGTGTTTGACGGTATCCCTATGGCCTTGGCTATCCTTATCTGGAACTTTGCCCCGCCGGGTGCCGTGTTGCAGGGTCCAGATGCAAAAATGCCATCTAGTGGGATCGGAAGGTGGCTCTGCTGTTACGGCTGTGTTTGTTGCTGTCGAAGCTGCCGGAAGAGGGCCAAGGGAAAGAAGGATATGCAACGACTACCTGATAGCGATATATATGGCCATGGGGTGCCACTTCAGAGCCGGGAGCCATCCCCCTACCGGGATAGTCAATACACAACCCGTCGTTGAGTTGGTGTGTTTGCTTTTTTTTCATCAGTTCATTTTGTATGTACATATGAATGGACTGTGATTATACATTCATATTTACTTCTATCTGCTTTGCCTCCTTTCGTTCTCCTTTCATTGCATGCATCTGGAAACAAACATATGGACCAGGTGTAGGAAAGCGGCTCTTGAATTTGTTGATAGAGGTCTTGCGCATATATCCCCTCAACTTAGGGATAGTTTAGAGTGGTACAATCCAGCAATGATAGTAACGAGGTCGGTGCTGCTCTGTATCACACTGGCTGTTGGGGGAGATGAGATGGGTGCTTAACAATGGGATTTTCTTGGCTAGAAGGTATCGTCCAGGAGGCTCAGCTTGACTGTGTTATCGTCACCATGAAAAGGCTAATTGAAGAGCTTTTGCACAACAATTGTGCTAGGGAATCAAAAACTATGGCACCAGAGACACTCCCCAGGGAAAGTTCGGTGTTTCGGCTTGTCTGTATAGTTAGGGGCCTTATGTTGAATTGAATTTCCTCGCACTAGCCAGATCTTAGCTCTTCTGACAGCCTCATAAAAATATATAGAGAGGAAGGCATTCGCAATAGATTTTCGTAAAATAGCCCAAGTACTTTTACCGTTCCATGTCAAGGTCAACACTAAATACGCTAGCAGCAGCTACAAGTCTGGCCAAACCATCTTGGTATATAGAACAGTTTGTTTTATTTTCACATTCTTTTCTCATCGCTAGTACGGCACAAGGAAAAGAAATTCGTTTTCGGGGTATCCGACGTTAGATTTACTAGCCAAAGCGTCAAGTCTACAGCATGACGATACCGACACCTCCCATCTTCGACTCATCGGGCAGGTTTTTCTCGTTGATTCCACCACCAATAGGCGCAGCGCGGTAGTTATATAGGTAGAAGTGGAGTTGGCCATCACCGGCACCGAACTTGAGATCCTCGAGGAAGAGGGGGTTGTCATGAGAGGTGAGGGCATTGAAGACATCGAAACGAGCCTAGAACAAGACAAGATTAGCATATAACATCAGAAATCAGAGACCCCAAGATTCCAACATACATTCTTTGCACAAATCAGAGCATCGTTCATCAAGAGCTGCAAGCGCTCCTTGAAAGCCCGCTTATCGTCGGAGAACGCGGTTTCGGTCGCGTAATAGTACAGGTATGCGGCATGGACAGCATCGTGCTTAGGGTTATCGATCACAGTAGACTCAAGATTGTAGAACGAGACAAAGTCGGTAATCTTGTGGGTTTCCGGGTCTTCGGCAACGTATGACCAGACAACCTGGTCCTTGCCGGGCTGCTTCTTGTACACCAGCCAGTGGTCGATTTCTTCCCGTGTGAAGGCCTGGTTCATATCAAAGCGTCGCATGTATCGCTCCAGCAGATCATAGACGGCATCGATATCCTTGGATTCCATGGGCCGGAGGCCAGGGGTCGATGTCTCGCTGGGGAGATGATTCTTAGTAACCTGGCGGGCCTTGGTCGAGCCATGGGGCAGAGGCGAGAAGCCAACATCGTAGAGCTTCAACCAATCCAGAGAGCGGTGGTAGTAGCGGCAAGAGCTGACGGGTGTGGGCAGGATGATACCACCAGTGTAGATGGCCTGGTAGATACCACGGAGGTAGCAGCGGCGGGTAATCTCCTTGATCAGGACAGGAGTTAGGCGCTTGGAGCGGAGCTTCTTGTGAATACACAGGAAGTTGATCTCCGTCACCTTGAGGCGCTCGCCGCGGACGCGGAGTTCAGTTGGGACACCGCAAATGGATGCAACCAACTTGCGCGACTTGGTGGCGCGCACACCAACATGCCATTCCTTCTTCCAACCGGGAGACATCAGAGCCCTATTTATGCCGCATTAGCGTTTTGGAATAGATACAAAGGTCCAAGATTCAATCGTACCAATGAAGGAACGATTCGGAGTAATTGAAACGGAACATGGCGTTATCATCCTCAACATAGTGCTTGTTAAGAAGCTCATAGAGCTCCTTCAGCTCCTCCTCATTCGTCAGGTCAAGAGTGCACCACTCGAATCCCTCAATGAGCGCATCGGGGGTCTTGGAAACCTTCTCCGGGTCGATGACCTTGATAGGTCCCTGAGTAATCTGCTTCTTTCCAGCCTCTTCAAAAGCAGGCACTGGCTGTGTCTGCCAAAACTTGTATGAGGCCATATCCTTCTGGTTCTTACCTCCCACTGCCAATCCGGTCATCATCTGCGAGAGGTCCATGTTGTGTAGTAGGGCTGCGGCCTGGTCCTTGTCCATCGCAGCTAACTCGTTCTTCAGGGCCGGATTTTGTTCGAGGAGTAGGGAAGCGAACTTCGGGGGAAGCTTCTTTCCTGCTTCTAGAATTCGAATGTCAACAACTGCGCATCTGCAGGCTAGGGACCTTGGTACCCAGTGTGGGTGGTTGAGGAGCCTACCATTACCCGAGTCGGATGGAGCCCCAGACTGGTTTTCATTGCGCTTAGGGGCCTTGCCCTTTTTATCGCTGGAATCCGACATGATGTGTTGGGGGAGTTGAGGAAGAAGGAATTGGGCCCCACGTTTCAAACGGCGGATCTCTGGTGGGGGTGCGGGTGACTTAATAATACACGATATTCCAAGGTTGGGATACGCTCAACACAACTTGGGTGCAGTACGAAGTACATATGTAGTTATTTAGACTGTTATTTATGGACACGTTTCACCCACGGAGTCCGTTTCACCCTGGTCGGAGTCCATAAGTGCTCCACTGAGAAGAGTGAAGACCCCCTCAACATTGAACTTTTAGTGGCCTACGTCAGGAACCTCGGCATTCACATATGCAAAGCCCATGTAGTTAAGGCACGTATAGGGGTTCAGATATGTATCATTCAAATGCATTGTAAACTATGTTGAGAATCGAAGAATTGTTGAAATCCAAGCAAAAACACCTCCTATGTCCGTTTCTATGCTAAGCCAAAGGCCATATCTCAAGTGTTGATACAAGAATACAAGAATGCAAGAGTCATTTGGAGCACCGGGCTACCAATCATCGGGGAATCTCACGCGTCGGTAGGTGGCTTCGTCTCAACTACGTCGAGAAATCCTCCGACCAAATGAATGCTGCCGGTGACAAAAGTCATGACCGGAGTTTCGTCCTTCTGCAGGACCTTGCGTTCCTGACCCGCAATTTCCCGCGCAAAGTCAACAGCCTCCTCAATTGTACCGAAAATATGTGTTTGAGCGTGAGGGTCAATGGCATTCCACTCCACCGCAAGAGACTTCTGGACCCGAAGATGTTCGAGGTCGTCAGCATTGGTGTTCATGCTAACCAAGTCGGGTCGGAAGCCCGCCTCTTTGTAGGTGATGTTCGTGCAGAATAGGGCGTGAGTGAATGGGGTATCATTTCCAAGCGCAGAGGCGAGGGTCTCGTGGAGAGCACGAGCAAGAGCCGTGCTATCACGAGTCTGTTGGTTGAAAATCAAAATCCGTGTCTTCTTGGCGGCTACATCCTCGGACGAGGAGTCGGCCTGGATACGCGACGCAAACCACTGGCCAGCCAGACGGATGCTCTCCAAAGTATGCCCGCCATCAATATACCAAGAGACGTTCTTCTCAAATCGGATTTCACACCGGCCACCTAGGCGAGTTTCCTCGAGTCCAGTCTTGAATTTCGCCGGTAGTGGTGCTTCCATGATATTGTCCGGAACATCGATATCAACCTGGCGTAAGAGATCCGCGGCAGCTGCCACTGCCACCGAGGCGTTGGTGTACTGGAAGTCTCCAGCCAATCCAAGGGTGATCTTGCTGCTCTCAGGACGAAGCTCAGAATGGCCAGCTACGATTTCCAGGTGAGCGCCAGCCTCCTCGGCGCGTTTAGCCAAGACTTGTTCCGCACTCGGAGGTTGTGGTGCCGCGAACCCATTTATGCCACGCTTGAGAATGCCACCCTTGTGCCACGCAATCTCCTCAATCGTATGACCAAGCATAGCAACGTGATCAATGCCAAGGCTACTGATCGCTGTCACCTTAGGCTGTGGGATCACGTTGGTACAGTCATATTGACCACCGATTCCACATTCGATCACCGCGGCGTCCACGCCCTCGCTCAGGTAGGTATGGAATGCCATCAAAGTCAAGTACCGGAAATATTGTGGTTTCGCCCCAGGCTCGGTAGGATCCTGACCCGCCATTTTAGCAGCCTGCTCCAGGCGATCCCATACTTCGAAGAAATAGCGCGCAAACTGTTCTTCGGATAATGGGGCATTATCGATCTTTATGCGCTCACGTGCGAACCGAAGGTGCGGGGAGGTGTAGAGACCGATCTTGAGGTTGGATCCGGATTGATCCGCATCTTTTCGGGAGTATTGGGAGAGGATTGTGGAGATGAATGCCGAGGTTGATCCCTTGCCTTTCGTGCCGGCGACATGAATCGCGTTCAGCCGATTTAGGTCGGAAGGCTAGAGAGCGTAAAGATCCCACATTAGCTTCACTCACAAGGGATCAACATCCCTACCATCAGCTCAGCACACCTTGTATCCGATGCGCTGCAACCAGTCCACTGTCTCCGGGAGGGATAAATCGTTCAGCTCCTGCCTCGTTTTGGACTTCTTGAGCGCCTCCACAATCGCATAGTTGGTTTGCAATGAGTTAAGCGATGAAATCGCAGCCTATCCATCCCAATGTCAGCATATGCCATGTCTTGTCAGAAGTAATCCCCTGTCGCAAAGCTCCGAGTAGCATACCTCGTATGTTCGAGTCATAGTGGGCGAATGAGTTGAAACTCGCCGTGCGTGAAACTGCCAGCGAATAGAGGTCCAAAGCCTTCTCATGGACAACTGAAGCCCGTGCCTTGAGTCCTCAAACGAACAGGGGTGGTTAAAGAAACCCTGGTAGCTCTTGTCGATTTATGATTCCCTGGTTGATCCCACCCGCTCTCCTCGGGAAACCCATTTGGCTTTAATCGGGAAGATCACGTGCTTGGCATACTACGTAGGAAATGAAGTCAAGCTAACTACAGTAAAACCTTTTCTATTAAATTGTGGGTTGGAAGAGACATGAGTGGCAATATATAAGTGGCATAACCTCCTTCCATTTCTAAAATATTTTTTTTCCCCTATACTCAGCTATGTCGACTGCAATAATCAACGCTCTGGTCCCCCTTTGGAGTACCAGTCCATTCCCGAGCGGATCGATGGGGCCACTGTCAATATTCCAATAGTCTGGAAGAACTTTACCCCGACATTCAACGCTTCACAGCTATAGCTCTCAAATTTTCCTACCACCCCGGTAGCCCATCTGAGCCAAGAGTTTTGTTGATCGAGCGAAACGGCAAAAATAGCTCATGGGGTAATACCTAGGAGCCAGGAGGAGGAACTCCAGACAAGGAGGACCCGACTATCATCCATTCTACGGCCCGAGAAAGCGGGGAGGAGACGCAAATCTCCAGGGCTAGCCTGAAAGATTTGCTAAAGATGCTATCACGTGTTCTTTCTATCACGAAGATAGAAAAACCGGCGATATAGTCCTTATGCGCACGCTCGGATTCATCATAATCGATAACGAAAAGACGATGGCGCAACGAGTCTAGTCTAGCGAGATGCAACAGCCGGTCGGCTAAAGTTCCGTCGAAATCAGTGATAAGCATCTCGATCATTGCTAGTTCACTGAGGACGAAGTTCGCAGTGCTGCTCTATACGTGAAAGGCACTCCACCGGGTCCTTTCGCTATGCTTCTGGCCAAAAAGGACATGGTTTTACTTGCCTTTGAGTTGTTCAGACAATCCTAAGGCCAGAATGTGCCACCTTCATTTGATATAGTGCGCTAGGACGAGGCGACAATGTAAGCGGAACGGGGCAAAATGAATGAGTTCCTTAGGCGCCCTAATGATGCTACATGGAGAAAGCTTGGTATTATTTTTCAATTTTGATCTTTGTCCGGAGCATTAAAACGGTAATCTACCGCTAGCAATTGATTGGTCAGACAAATCCACTTTCCCATACAAATTGTACCTATGTTGTATGTCATTTTGGGCTTAGCAGAGAATCTGGTATTGTCTCTCTACCGGTTATCGGCGCAGTTTGTCTAATAGTGACTTGAGTGGATTGGATTGCAGATTCCTCAAGGAGTTATTGTATTTAGCAATCCGGACATGAGGCAGTTCCCAACTAAATCAATAGCTTTTCCATCAGGAAAGAGTGCATGAAAAATTCAGCGTGATACGGTTGAAGAATTTGCATGAGGTAATCCGTCCAATCACTTTGCCAGCCCCAGGTAAGTAGAGCCTTTGCGAATTCCCAGTATTCTGGATACCAACCACTTAGCTCCCAGTCGATAATGGCGACCACATTTCCATCTTTCACCATAATATTCTGAGGCCGGATATCACCATGTGTGAATAAGATGCGGTGGGATTGAGGAAGCATTCCACTAAGAAAACTTGTGATGTGGCGTTTTGGCGCATTCTTTTGATAGGTATTGATAAGAGCCGTGTTAAAGTCTTGCTCCGAATCGAATGGGCCTTGAAAAGGAATTAGTTCAATTGAAGAGGTCACTGCGTGTTCGTGTTCTACCTTTATTAATAGAGGTCGATAAACTATGGTCAGTAACAGGACCATGATCTATAGAGCCAATATAACCAACGTTCCCTATATCACGGATCTCTTGGATATAGCTCGTAAGTTGTCTTGAAATATGGGATTTGGTGGAGACGTCGAAAGTGTCCCAAGCTGTATAGAGTGTTTCACCGGCAATAAAACTCATGAAGATGTAGGTATCGTAAAGGCCCCCGTAATCGCTAGCATCACGATCAATTGGACCGTACGTATAATATGCGAAAACTTTAGGTATAGGAACCCCTGTACTCTGCGCAATATGAATCATGGTTTTGGCCTCGGTAATGTTGATATGAGCACCAAACTTAACGACGACTTCAGGTGATATCTTCACGATAATGACACCTTGGCAGAAAATTAGGTTGCTTTGGTCCCGACAAAATTGGTTGACAGTATCAGGATGCGGCAAGCAAAACCCAGGGGCACAGTATTGTATATTCAACTGAGGCTCGGAAGTCGAAGGTTGAGAACTGCTCAACGTTGTAGTGGACGCCATCTTTCTAGGCCTAAGAGGATATTTTCTGTACGGATGACAGGCGCGGGTGACAGGGAGAGGAAAATATAAAAGATCGCAGAGTCGAGCATGGAAGAGGTCAAAACAAAACATACGACTCGGGCCATGAGTCACGTGCGAGCAAGCTACTCGTGACAGTTCGTTTTGTGCCCTTCTAGAATCGCCCCTGTCTATAAGCTATGTCGGATTTCCTGTGGCTATAGGATTCCTGTGTCGACTCTTTAAATTTTTACAAAAGCCATCGTCAATGCATGTTTATATAGAGCAGATTGGCAACCATTACCTGTCTTCACGTCAAGCCACTCAGACCCCTGCTCTAAAGTCGGTGCGCTGCTGGCTGATTAGACTAATAGATGGATATATTTTGAATCTAACCATTAAATTTAAATAGCGAAATAACCTAATTTCTCTAGTAATTGTATGGCTTCAACCGTCGGATCCCTCTGATGGTATTGAGTCCTACCTCTCCGTTCCTGGACTTTCGATATGACGGTTCGCCATTGTGTCTGTTCGGATATTCCCTTCCTTCCTCCTTCTCTAGTTGAGACCGATACTTTGACTTTGTTGTAGGCTAGATGCGCGTACTCTGCTAGTGGCCACGTAAAGCTACGCACAACGGAAGGCACGAAGGACGCGATGACCACCATAGATCCATAAGCGGTCTGGCCAACGGCTCCATAATATACAACTTGCAATAAGGAATGTGGCCCTCGCTCCCAAACAGCTGAGGATGCCTGAAAGACGTGGACGCGGCTGGCAACCGAATCCCCTAAGGAGACCAAGATCACGCTTACGACCAATTGAACGTAAGCGTAAAAGGATCGAGGGCGCGGTTCTCTTGTAGCCATTTCGGGTAGATCACAAGAAGTAATCTGAAGATTGAAAAACTCACAATTACCATGCCGTCGACGACGTTGTCTATGAGATTCTAGAATGTGATGGTCAAAATAGGGTCGCTTGGGGTGACGAGGTCGGATTTCGCATGGTCTCGCAGGACGGCCACAAGATTGGCAAGGGCTAGCCGATATGTCGCTGGCGAGTGCTTCTGACCAAGCAAGTGTCCTTCGTATGAGATATTGTCAATCTGGTTCCTTTTTCTAATTCCTCCAGTATGTGTTATGAAGACTCTTTCTTAATCAAGGCCCTAGTAACCTGACGATGACAAAATAGACACAAGCCAGGATCCACCGTACGGAGCCTGTTCTCCAAATACCGAGTCCGCTAAAATTGCCATCAATTACATGGTAAGTTCCAACAAGATGCTCTTTCTGTACACCCTTTTCTTCGTGTAAAAACATTGAACTGCTTTAGTTGAAGAAGCTGCTGGTGTGATAAAAGCAATGGATGAGGGCTAAAGCTGTATGAAGAGACTAGCAAGGAGCGCTCTGTTTGGGCCAAAGATTCAAGGCTCGCTTGAAACGTCTTCCTCTCTTGTGCTCGAGTCGCCTGGTCAATTTGCGGAGGGACAGGGTCTTTCGCACTGATAGCGGCAGCTAGCGAGATCTGTTGGATTCCCTTGGTGCTCTTCATTGTCGTTGCAAGTACAGGTATAAGGAGGTATGCATTGTAATAAAGAACTAAGCTATCCCAGTATTATACCTTCGGTTCTGTGTGTTCTACAACATAGACTGGTCATGTTTCTAAATGTGGGGGTTGTTGATCGGCGCAGGTGCCAAGATTATCCCTTGCTGGATATTACAACAGTTGTATCTGATCTTCTTCCGATTCCGCAACAGAGTAGAGTAGGAAAATGAATATGCGCTGGAGAGAGCGGATACGGGAGAGGGCCTATCATCATAGCTTCTATAAACCAGGCCAATCGCACTGAAGAAGGGTATATATCATGTACTCTGTACTCCGTAGCATGTGTATATTCGTTGTATCATAATCCAGTAATGCCCTAATTTGGTCCACTGTGCTTGTCTGATTCGCTATCTCCTTATTCCAGACTCTTTTCTGATTGCTGCTCAAGCATTTTGTACTTCTGTTTACTCCGTACTACCTACAACATAGGTAACACTTTGTTTCCTCTTTAACCCTAACTGCTGACTCCATAACCCTACTAATCATGCATCGTGCTTGCTGCTTATTTTTTGAACTCTCACGTTCAATTGGTTGCATGCTTTTGCAACGCACACCTATAAGTTCTTCTTCTGGTTGGCTGAGCGCCTATGTCGTGTTCAGATTTCCCATGTTGTACTCAGTACCTTTTTGAGGTTGAAATATGCACCGATAATAAGTTTGGAACGGGTGTAGGCCTTCTAAAATGTTCATGTATTGGCTAAGCGAAGGAGAATCTGAGTAGCAAGAACGATGGGACCGACTCAAAAACCATGGCAGCCGCATACAGCTGGAAACCCTCGTGGTCCCGAGGGAAAAAAAAGAAAAGAGAAGAAAAGAAAACAGTGTATCAAACAAAGGAGAAAGATGATTAGAATTGAATTGAAGGGGAAAGGAACAGAAAGGAAAATGCCGGCGGGCCTGTAGTGGTGAAAAGAATGGTAATAAAACATACAGCCATGGAGTATACAGAAGATCAGAGGGTAAAAACAAATAGCCGAAGAACGCCGGGGTGAGACATTTACTCAATCCTAGTCTTGCCCTCTTCCAAGAACACGAGACGGGCATTGCTAACACCACGCTGGTGTCGTCTGGCAGGGAGCCAATTACCGATGATGGGATCAGAGCGTGCTTTGATGAGAGCATCCTGATATCCCTCAGCGCCAGCGACCGGCGTGTTCAGCTTGGGCCAATTCACCTATAGAAAACAGGGTCAGTGGGACATACTTCGGGTTTGTCAAGATGGTAATGAACTTACATAGAGCATGCCGTGCCCATGCACGAAACGGAAACAGTAGACCGCCACCAACAACCAGAAAATCGTGAACAAGCGAAGCGGCCAGACAGCGGCATCGGGCAATCGCCGTGTGAAAAGCGCTACCAAAACCATGAACACACTAGCAGCGAGAACATATGGAACTGACTGGATGACAAGTGGTCGTTGGTCAAGGAATAGCTGGATATTCGCGAATGTTGAGTCCGATGGGAGATATGTGCCCAAAAATACATCGAACCCATCTTGTCGAGGGCCGTCCATAAAGTTGTTGCGTACATATCGCGTGATGGAGTTGTTCAAGTCTTGCAGCATGCCGGCTCGCGTACGTTTGCCAGTCCGAGTGAAATCTGTCTTCAGGGCACCAGTGCCGGAATAAGTCTTGGAGACAACATCTGCGTTGTCGGCCCAGATATTCCGGAACAGGTTTTCAAACTCCTGGTCATCGTTGGCAGTCTCTCCGGGACGGAGAACGCCTGCATCCATAAGCTGCCGTGTAACCGCCCAGCGGCCGAGCATGCTCTGCACTACATTAGTGCGGTCCAGGCAATCCATACAGTTTGTTCGGACAACACTCGTTTGCGTAGAACGAGTATCCAGCTGCCCACCAGCAGCACCGGGACTCTCCACTCCGCGGAAATAACCACCCTGGGTCAGCCCATCGTTCAGGCGGCCCATAAGCAACTCTGCACGATGCCACTTGAGGCCCTTAGTCTCGTTGTGGAAATCAAAGTACACATAATGCAGGCGGTCCATCTCTTTCTGCTTAAGCCCTGGTTCCAAAACATGAATCTTTTCAGAGGTGCGCTCATCAGCATCGGTGCTTTCAGACGTGGAAGTGACTAATGTGCGAACCAGCTGCTCATATGCGCGCTTGACATTCTCCTCCCTGCCCTTCTGGTTCACGAGATTGACCATGTAATTTTCTCCATAGATGCGGATCTGTTCGGAGAAATGCTTCCGCGCAGCTTCGACGGAAGTCTCGACTTCACGGACCTGAAGCTTCGGTGTGTATTTGAGGTCGTTAACTTCGGCCCAAAACACGGGGACACTGCCTCGAGTTTGAACAAAAGAGTAGACTTGAAGGTCTTGTCCAGCTTTGCCACTGGTCATTGATTGACCTCCACCAAATCCAGATAGTCCACCGGTCGAGTCATTCAAGATCACAATCTGCTCGGTCTCGTTGTAGTTTGAAACATTGCCTTGCTCGTCAATTCCGCGAGAGAAGTATCTTGTTCCGGCCCGGTGTCTAGATCGCCGGGTGATAAGCGCGAAGGTGAAGGATGTTGACTTCACTCGAGCAGGAGTAATGCGCATCATGCCGAACATCACTGGCAAGATATAGGGGTCAGCTCCTGGTTGGGGACCGTAGCGAATTCCACTTGTGTCGTTTGTTCCGAGGCTGAAGTTGATCAGATCCGATTGAATGAAGCGATTCCAGAAGAAGCGGTCGTCTGCGCCCTTCCACATCGGAACATTGGGGGCATTTTGCGACTGCCGCTGGAAATTATTGGTGATATCGAGCGAGTAGGAGAAGTACATGGGTCCCCTTCGAAGCAGGTCTTTCACCACTGTAAGATAGGCATCTTCGTCGGTATCGTGCAGCGGCCGTTCTCGCATGGGAAGGAATTCTGTTCCGGCAACTTTGTAAACCATATGACCGCGCAATCGTCCCATGGGCTGGGCTTTGGTAATAACAATGATGTATTTATCTGTGAGCGTCAGCGCAACCTCCTGAGTTTCTATTTGCGAGCGCAATTACCAAGCTTCAACTTGAGGATTCCAAGAATTCCAGCAATACTGGAAATGCGTTTGGCACCTGGAAGGGGGCCATCGTTCAAGCGTAAATCACCAGTTGGTCGGTCGACTACTAGAGTAGGTGACTGGCGTGATGATGGTGAAGTAAAGGCATAGTGGGAGGGTGACGCGTGTAGGTTGATATCCCGAAACGGGAGAATAGGAGCCATGGTTTCGAAACAGGACCTCCTGAGTTGATTACAAGAGAATAAAAAGAGAATATGAAAAAGGAACAGGCATGTAAGTAGTAAATTCAAGCCGAGTCTCTAAACAAGTCGCGGGAAGGTACAAAAGTAACAGCGGGCCACTGTGGTCAGTACCGCAGCCACACCGCCCCGCTGCTCCTGTGGCTGGGCCTTCCGTCATCTATTCCTCTCTGCCTTAAACTACGAGGATCTTTTGAAGTTGGTCTTGACATCTTTAAATAATTTGTACTCCAATACCCTTTGGATCTTACATTTTCCTTGACTCTTCTATCGGTCTTAAGACCTTGAACCATATATCCAGTTCCTCCATCCTTTCATCTTCCTTCCTACCCTCCCTCACATCCTCCATCCTCTCTCCTGATCATGGCTTCCAGGCAAGCAGCAGGAGCCCGCCAGCCAAGATTTGCCCAGTTCAAGCTCGTCCTTCTTGGTATGCTCTGATGTTACTCTGCTTTTTATTGAACGTTGAATCTATGGCTGACATGCGCTATGCTTATAGGAGAGTCCGCCGTCGGAAAGGTTTGGGATACCACTTGCGATCTTCTTTATCAGCCGCTGACTTGACCGCTATCTTCCAGAGTTCGCTAGTCCTCAGATTCGTTAAAGTGAGTCTTCAACGATCATCACATTACTTCCCGTGGCGAGCCGAGCGTACATGGAATAATAAAATGCTAATCTCCTGGTTCAGGACCAATTCGATGATTATCGCGAGTCGACGATCGGAGCTGCCTTCCTGACACAGACCATCTCCCTCGATGATACTACCACAGTCAAGTTCGAAATCTGGGATACCGCTGGCCAGGAGCGGTATAAGTCGTTGGCTCCGATGTACTATCGCAATGCCAACTGCGCTGTGGTTGTCTATGACATCACTCAAGCTGTAAGGTCCAGTCCTGTATCGTGTCTTTTGACTCCATCGCCACTATAGAAGCTAACATTCTTGGAACTACCATATAGTCGTCGCTAGACAAAGCCAAATCATGGGTGAAGGAACTCCAACGCCAAGCGAATGAGAACATTGTGATCGCCCTAGCAGGTAACAAGCTTGATCTTGTCACAGAGAGCCCTGATAAACGAGCAATTCAAGAGGCCGACGCAGAGGCCTATGCACGTGAAGCGGGTCTGCTTTTCTTCGAAACCTCTGCCAAGTCCTCGACGAACGTCAAGGAACTATTCACCGCCATCGCCAAGAAACTACCTCTGGATCACGTCGGTCCTCGGAACATGCGGGCGGCCCCTCGACCCGGCGTTGACTTGCGACCGGAGGCCCCTGGAACCCAGGGTGCCGGTGCGTGCAATTGTTAAACAATTACCCGATCATATTCCCCCTTAGCCAGTGTGCCTTCGCCTCACCCACTGTTTGACAGAAGGCGTAGGCTACACACCCCAGCATCGTTCAACGGTGGTATAACTCTGTGACTTTCTATGATTTCGCCAATGTCATTTGATCGGAGCCTGGAACCATTCCCTACCCGCTACGGAGCCGAGGGATAGACTCTCGGTTCATGATCAATCTAACCCTCTCGGATTTTCCTTTGCTTCTTTTGTCCTTGCTCAGCCTGCTCAAACGAGGCCGCACAAGTCCCCCGTTGGCAGAAGGATTTAACTTCCATGGACCTACATGGAATTTGGCTTTAGACATGCTGCAGCTGGATCTATCGGTGCTTTGATGGTGCTGTTCCTTCTGTATTCCTTGTTCCTTCTCACCTGGCGTCTGCATCTGCTGCTTTTTTTTCTTCTTTCGTCCTATGTCTTGGGCTGAATTCTTGATATTCCCGTTACCCTTGCCTCTCTCAGAACAGAATTCTTAGTATGTTATGCTCAAATAATACATTTTCCTCACCTGTATGTACACTGAAAGACTTACAATATGTTAGTGGCGTAGGCAGACCAAAATACAGAGGCACGTCAACTCTATCTACCTTGATCCCGAGTACAGTCAAGAAGTGTAGATGTTTCGCTACTTTGTTTTTCGGATCTATGAGTGGGTTGCTCGTGTCAATATATTCCTCGGTTGATGTTTAGAATTGAGTCCCCGATAATTTAACCAGTGGCTTATACCCGGGAAAGGGTGTCCCCATATGTATAGGCCAACTTTTATTTTATCTTTCGTTACACTGAATCCAAAGCCCAACTAGATATGTATACTTCTAATGTCAGTATGTACGGAAGTGGACATGAAATGGTGCGCAAAGCCACTCTGACCGCCCGCAGGATTATCGGGGCGGATCGCAACTGAGCAACCAAGTTCCCGTTTTCCTACTCATCCATCTTTTTGATCACCTTTAGCCACTAATTTTGGTGATTGTGCGGCTCGTCATGCTGCGCTCCTCGATTGCTCCGGGTCGGCAATTGCTGTCAAACCCTGTCCGCCAACGGATTCCGTCGCAATGGCTGTCCAAAGCCGGTGCAAGCAACCGGCTGGCAGGTCAGGTAAAGAGAACCATATCCCCAAGCTTCTTGTCTCTTCATACTCACAACCACGACGCGCAGCGATTCTTCGCCGATTCTAAGCCTCCTACTACCGGTGGTCCAACACCAGCCTCCCCTTCCTCCGAATCCAGTGTCCCTCCCGAGACCATCTTGAAGGCCGCTGAACAAGGTATGACGACCCCCTCATCCATCAATTACCATTGAGGCCTAGGCCCGATATCCTAATGCGATATTTTTACAGAATCTAAGCTTCCTCCCTCGCCTCCGGCAGCTGCTCCCCGCAAATCCGGTCGTTTCCGTCGGTTCTTGATTTATCTGATCCTCACATCCGGCTTTGCCTACGGTGGTAGCATCTTCCTGGCCCTGAAGTCTGATAACTTCCACGATTTCTTTACCGAGTACATTCCCTACGGTGAAGAATCCGTGCTTTACTTCGAGGAGCGCGACTTCTACCGCCGCTTCCCCAACGCACTGAGAAACCAGAACCGTCTCCCGGCTGCACCCCGAGAAGAGGGAAAGGCTGTCACAATTCCTGGCAAGAGCGGTCTGTCTTGGAAGGTTGCTGAAGAAGAGAAGGCCGACGCCACTGCTAAGGCAGCTCACGAGGGCCAAACCAAGTCCGCGATCAAGCCCGAGGATCGGAACGCTACAGTCACCAAGGCCAAGGAAGACACGGCCTCGAAGCACAGCCCCAAGGACACCAAGTCTGAGTCCGAATCCGAGGCGAAGAAACCCGTCTCACTGGATCAGCCCAGACAACCTGCCGTTGCTGCCAGCACCATTGAATTGCTCCAGTTGCAGGATGGTGATGAGGGTGTTGTCCAGGATCTGGTTAAGACCTTTAACGACATCGTTACCGTCATTAGTGGCGATGAAAACTCCAGCAAATACTCTGCGCCTATCGCCAAGGCCAAGGGCGAGCTGGAGAAGATTGCCGAGAAGATCGCGGCTATCCGCAGTGAGGCTCGCAACACTGCCCAGGAAGAGCTTAACAAGCTACATGCTACCTTTGATGAGTCGGCACGCGAATTGATGCGCCAATTTGAGGAAGTGCGCTCCACTGATGTTGCTTCATTCCGTGAAGAGTTCGAGGCCGAGCGCGAGAAGCTCGCCCACGCATACCAGCAGAAGGTTAACACCGAGCTCCGCCACGCTCAGGAGCTTGCTGAGCAGCGTCTTCAGAATGAGCTTGTTGAGCAGGCCATCGAACTCAACCGCAAGTATGTCCATGAGGTCAAGGGCCTGGTCGAACGCGAGCGTGAGGGTCGTCTGAGCAAGTTGACTGAGCTCACAGCCGACATTAACGAGCTTGAGAAGCTGACCGCTGGATGGAGCGATGTTATCGACACCAATCTCAAGACTCAGCAGCTGCAGGTCGCCCTAGACGCCGTTCGCACCGTGGTCGAGCGTGCTGAGACCCCACGTCCGTTTATCCGTGAGCTTGTGGCCGTGAAGGAGCTTGCTGCTGGTGATGACGTCGTTGAGGCTGCCATCGCATCTATCAACCCCACCGCATACCAACGTGGTATCCCCTCCACTACTCAGATTTTCGAGCGTTTCCGTCGAGTTGCAAGTGAAGTCCGCAAGGCTAGCCTGCTGCCCGAGGATGCCGGTGTGGCCAGCCACGCTGCTAGCCTTGTTCTAAGCAAGGTTATGTTCAAGAAGGATGCTTTGTCCGAGGGTGATGATGTCGAGAGCATTCTCGTGCGCACTGAGGGTTTGTTGCAGCAGGGCGATGTTGACGCCGCCGCTCGGGAGATGAACACCCTCCAGGGCTGGGCTAAGATTCTGAGCAAGGACTGGCTGGGTGATGTTCGCAAGGTTCTTGAAGTCAGACAGGCTCTCGAAGTAAGTTTTTGTTCGCTCTTTCAGTTCGGGAATTTGCAACAGATCCACTAACAACTTTCTTTCTCAAAGGTCATCGAGGCTGAGGCCCGCCTGCAGTGCTTGCGGGTTGAGTAAGCGCATATTTTGAGCGAAGCTGAATTCATTTCCCCCTGTATATCCTCATCTTTTACAGGAACTGTACCTCTAGTTGTACTTGTGCTTTAGACCCAAATGCTAGAACTTTCCCATATCTATTGACTCGTCTAAGGTGTGTAGCATGTGTCACCTGTAATCTAGATCCCAATGCATCTTTTGATCCTAGATTCAATGCCGAATAAGTTTGATGCCCAAGTCTTTCAGGGTTTAATGCCCAGGCGGGTCCATGGCTGCGAATAAAGTGATTACGTAAGATTGGCTGACGCGCATTCTGATCTACACTGGGGATAATGTTACGTCTTGCAGGCTAACCATGCAACATTGTCTTTAATTTCACTAGTGTTTGAACCCTTGCCAACTTGGCTGATTGCACTTATGCTTGTGTCTGCCCAAAGTATGTCTGTCTTCGTCTCGAACATCGTCATCTAGCATTGTTGCCCTTCCCGCAACAATGTCGCAACAACCGAACGAGCCTCCTGTACGATCTTCAATGTCTGCGGCGAATATACAACCCCGAGACCGATCCTCGGGGACTGCGCCGTCTCTATTACGATCCGACGGGGGCTCATTTCGCCAGACCTCGCCCCGACAGAACAACGAGCGAGCAAGTGGGGAGTTGGAAGGTACTACACTGGGCAGCGGTTCCCGTGATGGAGATCGAAGAACACCGGGCCAGCGGAAGATCCAGAGCTCAAGTGGCTTCTTGCTCGACTCATTACCTCGCCCACGAAGCACTAGAGTTAGCCTGCACCGTCCTCGCCCGTCAGAACCTCCCCAGCCGAAGCGCAGCGTTCCCGAACCGGATATTGTGATCCCCAAGAAACGCTCGCGGTTTCCATGGAGCAGGAATAAACATCGTGAATCTGAAGCGATCCTGGAGGATGCAAGTTCGGTTCCGATCATTGCTCCGCAGGCCCCTACGCCCCCTGATAGACAGCCCTCGGGAAGCTCCTCGCAGCCCGAGGTACAAGAAGACGATGTGGCACATTCAACTCCTGGGCTCGATAGGGACTCTATCCAGATCGTTAACCTAGCCTTGAACCTCAATGAATCTCGGAGGAGGACAGCTTCTGGAATACCCACGGGCCCCGAGAGCCGAATGCCAATATCTGTCTCTCAACCTGCTATTCCGACAGTAGACGGCTATGCATATTCCCCACGAGCGAGGAACTTCCAGCGCGACTCGCCGTATCGCAATTTTACTCAGGTCTCCGGTAATCGTTTGTCACATGGGACACTTTCGAGCTTAGAGCAATCATCTGTTGTGAATTTGTTACCTCGATCCGCGATTGAGGATCACAGGGCATACGAATTCTCCGAAAGCACCTTGGCTCGTGCTGAGAGAGCACGCAACCATTTTGATTTATTTCATGAATATATGCGCCTACTGCCCTCATTACCACCTCTTCGAGATACAGTCAAGGGTGACGTTGAGGTTAAGCCACGGAAATCCTACCGTGGCTACAACCCGCTTCAAATGATTCGCAACCGGAAAGTCAGATATCGTGAGAAATGCACCATCGATCCAGCCGCAGAAGGATGGCATGACGTTGAAAGAGTCCACCAATGGATCAATGAGGTCGAGCAAAAATACAGCCAAAGAGAGTACGACTCGGTAGATTGCTTAAAGCTACCACCTTTCCAACAAGGTCGTCGCCATGTATCTATGAGAGAACACGAAGATATAGATATTACTACCTCTCCGGGGTCAAGCTTGCGGCGAGTCAGCCGGACCAGCAGCATGAAGGCCCGTCGGCCACGTCTTGATTGGAAGACATCGCCGGCTGAGCTTCTGGCCGATGCTGCCTGGCTGGAATATGGTGTCAACAAAACAAAGGTGGTCGACAAGGATGGCTTCAAACTCTACCCTGACTCTACCAAATTAGTTAGCATGGACACAAGCGACGACATTGGGACGCCTCATAACCAGCAGCGCCTTTCGGTTGAAGTGGCAGATCCCGGAGAGGCCCGTTCGTCACCGCACACTTCTGTGTCCAGCTCTCACCCTGCGTTGGCGCAAGAATTCAAGAGTGTGCGCCGTGGGCGGCACAAGCACAGATTTCGAAGTCATTCGCACAGCTTACACAGCCGTAGTGCTTCCAGCAAACGAAAGCCGTCACGATGGGATCATGTCAAAATGCGTTCGGGCAGCGTCTCGAGTTCTTCAAGCTCAGATACCCGCCTTTCCGTTGATGAAAAGCCGCGCATGTCTCGTGAGAATATTCGCGACCATGTTCAAAGATTCGTCGAACATGCACACTCAGGGTCTCGGACATCCCGTGCCAAATCTCCGGCTGTTCACGATGAATATGATCGGGGAAGGACACCACAACCAACCGAGCCATTATCGGTGAACACGAAACAAGCCCGCAAGCACAGGAAGGGCTCTTTCTCGTCAGCAGGCAGTCTTGATGACCGGCACGATCCTCGTATGTCCCTAGAAGGCATGGATAGCACTGCGCCTAACTCTCCCGCTCGCGTTGGCTACTTCCCGAGCATAGCAGTAAATCTGTCACCCCCCTCAAGTCGGTCTCCCTCGCCCGCAAAGAAGGGCTTCCGTCATAAGATCGTTTCACGCCACGAGCGCAGCAAGAGCAAACAAGCAGAGCGAGAGCGAGAGCGGGAAGATGAATTGCCGGAACCTGATACTTTCCGTCAGCGAAATCTGACGGCGCCTGCACGGACGGAGGGTGCTTCCAAGCTCGAGCCAAGTCCTCTTCCTGACGTTGTGTCGTCATCCTATAATGATGATCAAAGCACGCAGGAAGCTAATCGGGTGGATGGGCATCGGTCCCGTAAAGGGCCCCATCTTCCCGAATCAAAGCTACGAGGAATATTCAAGGGACCAGGTCGCATAGCAGAGATCGTGGGAAATGAGGTCTCCAAGGTCGGCGATCTCATCCTGAAGAAAGACGCAGATCCTGAATCTCGGAAATCATCGTCTGCGACCACTTTTGCGTCGGATGATAGTGATTCCGATGAAGAATCTAGAGGTGACAGGAAGGCTGGCTCCAAAGGCCTTCTACGGCGCCTACCAACTTTTACGGATGAGCCTGGGCGGTTGACTCGCAGAAATTCCGAGAAGAACTCATCCCGAAGCTTCATCCCATCTCTGCCGACCTTCACATCACCACTGCGGCAAGATGAACGAAGCGAAGCATCAGAGGTGACAGATTTCGGCAGTCCTCGTGAACGAGTTTCCTCCCCACGAAATTATGGTTCCCGTGATTCTCCCAAGAAGTTCTCGCTGCCACGCAGCAAAACGCTCGAGTTCAGCCCTTCTATGCACACGGGGCGGACAAAGGGTCACGAGATTAAGGACCCCTCCATCCCTTTCAGCTTAACACGGCCTCCCGTCACAGGGCTCGCCAACGCTCGAGCATCACCAGGGCTTTCCCCGGAGGGAAGCCGCACAGGCCTTCAAGGTGCCAGTCGCGCCTGGAGTATATCTGGGCGCAGTATCCACACCTTGATTGACACCGGCGTACCAGGTAAACCGGAAGTCGAGCGCACACGGGCTCTTCTGTTGTCATCGGGGATTAAGGCGCGGGAGATTAATCGCCGAGCCCACACTCCCCGTGAACAAGTTCCTAACTGGCTTCAAAACTCCATGGGCCCTGGTGCATCTGTTCCACGAGTGACGCGGGCCGGCGAGTTCGACCTCGCTGCTCAGTGTCTCCTCCAGCGTTTCGAGCACACCCAACACTCGTTCCAACAATCCATGCATAATTTTTCCACCTCCACCTCGTCGCCTCTCCGATCTCAGCTGAGGAACCTGGAAAACCTGGTCAATCATTCCCTGGCTCCTCGCGTCCGAGCCACGGCAAATGACGCTGAGGATCTGTGTGTCCAGCTCAACACCACCAGCACACTTGCTGTTAAGCAGTTGAGTGATGCCCTTGATAAAGGCCTTCGTAAGCGTCGCCGTCGATTACGATGGATCCGCCGCACTGGGTTCATGGTTTTGGAATGGGCCTTGGTTGCTATGCTGTGGTGGGTGTGGCTTATTGTCATGGGCTTCAAGCTTGTGCGTGGTGTCTTCCGAGGTGCCTTTACTGGTATCCGATGGGTCTTGTGGCTTTGATTACAGACTCCATGTGGTTATCCCTTCTTGATTTCTTTCTTTGTCCTCACTACCTTGGGGGACTTTACTTTTTACACTACTGGTTTTTAACTCCATCGCCTCTATTGGCGTGCATATACCCTTGCAATGAGCTTGTTATGCCCACTGTCTTCTTTCTACTCCACCATCTATGATTTAATGGAGCGTTGCATCTGTGTCAAATGGTCCCCATAATATTTTGTCTTCGGCTTTTGTACATAATTCACCCGGCCTGTCTCCGTTCCAATGCATTTCTTTGGAGTCAAACAATGCTCATTCGCCTCTTTTGATGGTGGAACTTGTCCACTGTTTCCCTTTCAGCCTCCGGGAGGCGACATGGGGATAATACCAGAGGATATTCATCTGCAAGCAACCTGTCGACAATGAATGACTCGAAATCTTTTGGAACAAAGCGATTCACTCTTCTTTGTTCGCCGCTGCTACTCTTTGGATATTTCAGAATATCTTCCTTGATACAAAGACTTGCAAGTGTGCAAGCATACACACCTCTTTATTCTCTTTCTCTTGCCTATGCTTAAACAATGGCAACCTTCACTATATAAAAATGACCAAGAAGCATAAATACCTGGGGATATCCGCTAGATTCAGTCAACTCTCACACATTGTGACATACGCAGCATTTCCTTTCAGAAACAAACCGAAACCGATCTTCCCTCAGGTACATTATTTCACAATATATCGCTCATCTCATACATCGAAAATGTCTCCAGCAGGTAACAGTATTTCCGCTAACCCCCCAGGCCCAGCAGACCCCCATCTAAGCCGCTTATACAAGGAAGCTAGCACCAGCCGGTGGCAACTCGAAGGCCTCTTCAAGACATTCTTGGAGGGCAGACCGGCTGATACCATTCTTGCCGTTCAAGAACGCCGCCTTCTCATTTCCTGGGACCTCAAGGGCATCCATTACCTGAGGGTCTGCTTGAGGACATGGATTCAGGACAAGGTCCCCGGCGACGCCATTGGTGCGTTCCTTGTGAAAGTCTTGTACGAACAAGACTTTCATCTGGATTACTTACTGACCATGATGGTTCGGGATGGAGAAACCCAGCTACACATCGCTCGTCGTCTGTTGACATTCTACCAAATCCGCGACGAAGTAGGCGCCCCGATCTGGGATAATGTCACCGTCTATGCCGAAGACGCTCACAGGAATCCACCAGCTATCCAGAGAAAGAACGTTGCTGGAAGCTCCGGTATTACCAGGAAGGAGCTTCCACATCGCATTCCTACGCCGCCACCTGCTGCTCCGAGATGGCCCCTCTTCATGAGCGGGCTTAGCGACCCGGAGATCGAAGACATCATGGACAAGCTAGGCGATGATCATCACCCAGACGAAGAAGATCTGCCCCCCTTGTTCGCAGGTGTGAGTGAGGAAGACTTCCCCATCATCCAGGCGTTCCGGAGATTCAACCTGCACAAGAATGATTCTTCCCAGGACCATCCTCTGTCTGAGGATACATCGAAGAAGACTAACACATCACAGGATAAGCCTCTCCCAACCCTGCCCACTGACAAGGCTATTCCCCGTAAAGCCCTCCCCCTCCCGCCCCTTTCACGTCCCTCAAGCCCAAATTCCTCATCTGTGCGTGTGTCGACTTTCAAAGCAGAGAAGAAGTATAGAGTCCGATGGGAGGACCGTGTGCCAAGCCAACATGCTAACATCGAACAGGGAAAGGGTAAGGATGACCTGCGTTCGTCTGACACTGTTTATGCTTATATTCACAATCCTTCGGATTACAATGTCCCCGGTCCCACTCCTAAGCTGAAGAAGAAGGCAGGAGTCGAGGACTTGCGCCAGGCTGGTTTGCGTGGTGATTGAATGACTGAGAGATGTTGAGTCGATACATTCGGGTTAGGCTAGAGTTCTGGGTCTTTACTTGGTGGAGTTAACAATGTCTTCTGTTTTATTGGAATTCTATCTTGATCATATGGGAGTTTGGAATTTGGTAGGATATATATTTAGACTGAGATATTCGAGTTCTTTATAGCATTAGAATGGTTTGCAATGATAACACTTGACGCGTTTTTGGATATATTTGTCTCGTGAACTGGCTTCTTTGAATTTACAACGCTTGAAAGAACAATTTAAAAGAGAAATATAATAAAACAATAATCTATTTGTTCAGACAGGAGAGTAGAAAGTAGTATCTTGATCTTGAAATACAGGTCCCAGAAAGTCACAATGTGATATAGTGCCATGCGTAAATAGTACAGGGGGAATTGTTGATGATGGAAGAAGCAGCAGAGATTCAAAGCAAAATTTGCTGCTTCTTAGCTCCAGCAAGAGCCAACGCCAGGCACCGCCTGGCTTGGGTTGCTAGAGTAGTCGGAGGGGGTGAGGGTTATTACATATTGTATCGTTTATTTCTTGTGTCTGTCGGCCTGGGCCTTCAGGAACTTGGCAATGAGTTCCTTTCTGTAAGAGAAGACGGTTAGCATGGAGATATAGGAAGAAAAGTAATACTGGGTGAAACATACTGCATGTGAGGAGGAGCCTTTTCGTAGTGGCTGAACTCCATGGTGTATTCACCCTTGCCCTGAGTAGCGGCACGCAGGTTACTGCTGAAGCCGAACATGCCGTTCAAACTGCAGTCAGCGTATACAGTGAACTCGTCAACACCGGTCTCGGTGTCGTTGATAGTGGCACCGCGCTTGTTAAGCAAGCCGATGACATCACCCTGGAACTCAGTCGGAGCGGTCACGACCGTCTTCATGAGAGGTTCTAGAACAGAGGGCTGACTTTCTGCGAAAGCCTTGCGGAACGCCTGTTGGGTGGCGTTCTTGAAGGACATTTCGGAAGAATCAGTCATGTGGGTGGCACCGTCGTTGATGACCATGCGAGTGCCCAGAACCTTGTGGCCGATCAGAGGACCCTTGTCGCAAGAGAGGTTGAAACCCTTCTCGCAAGCGTACAGGAACTTCTCTGAAATGCTGCCTCCAATAACCTGCTGCTCGAACTTGTTATCCTCGAGGACGCCGGTAGGCTCCATGAATCCCATAACACGGGCGAATTCACCAGGTCCACCGGACTGCTTCTTGAGCAGGTGGTCGAAGTCAACACGGTTGCCGATAGTCTCACGGTAGGCGACCTGAGGCTGACCGGTCTCGCAATCGACACGGTACTCACGACGCATACGCTCGACGTAGATGTCAAGGTGGAGTTCACCCATTCCGGAGATAATGGTCTGGTCACTCTCGCTATCGTAGGATACCCGGAAGGTTGGGTCCTCTCTCTGGAAGCGGGCCATGGCCTTGGAGAAGTTGGCACCGTCCTTGCTCTGCTTGGGCTTGATGGAGAGCGAGATGACGGGCTCGGGAACGAACATGGAGGACATACTGTAGCCGAGAGTTCCATCCGTGAAGGTGTCACCAGATGCACACTCAATACCGAACACGGCACAGATCTCACCAGCGCCAATCTCAGTGACTTCCTCCATGTCGTTGGAGTGCATGCGGACAATACGGGGAACCTTGACCTTCTTGCTGTTGCGAGCGTTGAAGACGTTGGCACCCTTGCGGAGAGTACCCTGGTAGACACGGATGTAGGTCAATTGACCGAAGTTGCTCTCTTCCAACTTGAAGGCCAGACCAACAAAGGGAAGAGAGTTATAGGGGACAAGCTTGACAGACGCTTCGTCACGCTTCTGGTCAAGGGCGAGGTTCTCAACCTCAGCGGGGTTGGGAAGGAAGTCAATAACACCGTCCAGCATGGGCTGAACTGACTTGTTAGCCAGAGCAGATCCCATGAAGACAGGGGTGAACTTCAAGCCAACAGTAGCACGGCGGATAGCGGCACGGATCTGGTCTTCGCTGGGAATAACCTCGTCCAAGAACATCTCCGCAATCTCATCGTCGACATCGGCAAGAGTCTCGATGAGCATAGTGCGGCGCTCCTCGGCGATGGCCTTGACCTTCTCGGGGATTTCATCTTTCTCCATGATCTCCTCACCACTCTCGCCAACGTTGTATAGAGCCTTCATGCGGATCAAATCAACGACACCCTCGAACTCGTCCTCGGCACCGATGGGCACCTGAACAGCAGCGGCGGGGATCTTGAGCTTGGTGTTGATCTGGTCAACCGCCTTGAAGGGGTTAGCACCCATACGGTCCATCTTGTTCACGAATGAGATACGAGGAACGTTGTAGCGGCGCATTTGGCGATCGACGGTAATCGTTTGGGACTGGACACCTGAGACAGCACACAGAATCATGACAGCGCCGTCCAGAACGCGCAGCGCTCTCTCGACCTCAATAGTGAAATCAATGTGACCGGGGGTATCAATCAAGTTGAGGTGGTACTTCTGGTCAACACCCTCCTTATCCTTCTTAACCCAGTCACAGAAAGTGGCCGCAGACTGGATAGTAATACCCTTCTCACGTTCCAAGTCCATGGAGTCCATCTTGGCACCGACGCTGTCACGCCCGCGGACCTCGTGGATAGCCTTGATACGACCAGTGTAGAAAAGAACTCGCTCGGTACAGGTGGTTTTACCGCTGTCGATATGGGCCTGTGCAGGAAGACTTCATTAGACAAGAACAAAAACCAGACACGAGCCAATTGGGATATTACGTACCGCAATACCGATGTTACGACACTTGTTAAGACGAGCGGCCTCGACCGGATCGAGACTGTCAATAATGGTGGCTTGGGATAGACTCGCTGGGTCGGCCTTAGCAGCCTCAAGGCTAATAACAACGTTAGAAAGAATAAAAGAGAAGGGATCAGTGGGTCGAATATACTTACACTGCAGAGGCAACAGCAGAGGCATTTCGGCGCTGGTCCCATTGTCCCAACTTCGACTGATAAGCCGGCGCAACAGCGGCTGACCGGAACGCAGCCGTAGAAGTGCATCGCTGGCGCAGAAGAGTCTGGGGTTGGAAACGAGCTGACCTGGTCAAACCAGACACCGCGCGGGATTGTAACCGTGCAAGAGAAGGAGACCGCATGGTGATGATCCAACCACACCAAAATTGATATGATCAACACGAAATTGAATGTTTAGTTGGCTCCCCGAAAAAAAGTTCGGGGAAGCCAGGAACGCATCACGTGATTATTTACATCGGCCCATTCAGAGCCGGGAGATTACCATTCGGTGGATGTACAAGTATAAAATGAGATATGGTCATTGAAATCGGTGATATCTCGGTTGTTTGAGGGGTTGAGTATGGTGACAAGCTGTTTCTTGGAGTAAACTGCACATATATCCATAGATATTGGACATCCAAGAAAGCCACGACTGGAGAACATGATATGAGTTGAATTGAAACATGAAGAGCCAATAAACTTGATTGCCACACTAATATACAAGAAAAATACACAAGCGCCGTGGTATCCAACCACTGTCTGGTTTTGAAACAAGAATGCAAAAGTATGCCGCCGATCCAAGTTCCGCGACGACAAGTCGTGTATCCGAGGTATTTAAAGACGACCTGGGTATCGAGGGCACATTTGAGTGCCTAGAAATATTGCCAATATCTCAGATTGTTCGAGCAAAGGCTGCCGCGGAAGGATAAAGCGATGCACGCTATCGGAGAAAATGACGAAAAGCGACGACTCTATTTCCCCTGTCGTTGCTTGTGCTTGGGGTTCTTCGAGCTAAAATAACAAGAAAACAACATATTAAAACCAAACGACCTCAAGAATAGCCTTCAATGGCACAGGGTATATACTCACCAGATGATGTAGACACGGCCTTTCCGGTGAACGGGCTGTTCAGCAGTCAGCACCAGCCAAAACACAATTTCACAATCATTCCAATATAAATGTATCAGTGTCTCAAATCATACCTTGCACCCATCACACAGTCTCTTGACAGAAGACCGAGTCTTCATTCCCCGAACCTGCTCCACCTGTCTAGCAGACCCATTCGCCACGGCAACAGCATTGCCGGTCTTTGCTTGTCCACGGAGCCTCGTCAGGCTGTTGCGAATCATGTGCGAGAAAGGTCGTAATGAGGCGGTCCGGGTGGTCACAGAGGGGAGGAATTGGCGGAGGGCCCCGGAGGAGGCACCGAAGACGGAGCGGAGGGAGAACATGGCGGCGGTTTTCGGATTTGGTCTATCTCCACGGAAGGTGATCAATTGGAGGCTGCGCCTCAAGTATCACCTTATGAAGAACAAGAGGTATCGGGGGTGCGGTACGAGGTTGATGTTTGGCTCCAAGGGTTCTCTCGTGCTGCGATCGCAAATGTTGGCCGGAGCTTCTGTATCGCCGGTCGGCCGAGGCCGCTGTGATTGGTCAAGTTTACACTACAAAGTATACAACATAAGGGCAGAGAAAACAGAAAGCGTGTATGTATTCATTTAGTGATTCGATAGACAGGTCAGTTTTATTGAAATTATTCAGAGATGCTAGCCGGGAAATATCTGCTGCGTTGAAATAAAGACCTGATCTGCAAGACAGTAATTGTGCATAAATCCAACCGAATTTGCGGAAATATTTTTACCTATGCAAGTATGTAGTAAGGACTCCAAAAAGCAGACTATGTGACCTATGATACAGAGGGTCTAACAAAATGAACCAAACGCCAAGCAAGAGACAAAACCGGACCTGGACCTTAAACCGCTTAAACAACAACAAGCTATGAACAATGCATTTTCTCGTTACCCACCATCTCTTCTTTTGCGATACTAAATAAAAATGCTTATTACGAACGCAAGAAGGTCTTGTAAGTGGGAGAGTCAGTGTGCTCAGTAAACGGATAGCCCAGATCCCGAAGGAATGCCTCCAAGTCCTCCTTCTCAGGTGACGGGCACTGGATTCCAGCCAGAACCTTGCCCACATCACCGCCATAGTTGCGGTAGTGGAACAAAGAGATA